CAGCAGCCCAGGGGCCACTCGAGGTTCTCCAGCAGCAGTCTGGGAAAGAGGAGAATGGGAGAAGCATTTCCATGGAGAGAAGAACGTTTGCTGTGCCTGTGGATCCTCACGTTTGGATCCATGAGATCTGGCCAAGGGGATTCTCTGGCAGCGCCCTCACTGCAAAAGCACCAAACCCACCCCCCGCTGGGGAATCCCTACAGCATTCCCAGAATTCCTACAGAGTTCTGCAAAACTACCTCTGAGCATCAAAATTACAGGAGAAAGGATTTATCCCTCGTTTCCATCTGTCCAAGGAATCTGAGGGAATCAAAAATAGAAGGGAAGGCTCCGCCCTCCAGAAAAGCCCCGAATTCAGGGAGAGAGGAAAATCCCTCTCTTCCCAACAGCATCAAATACAAAAATACAGTTTCCATGGGAATATCCCACTGCTGGGAGAGGTGATGAGGACCACCACGGAATACCAGGAATTCTGTACAAATCCAGGTGGGAGCTGGGACACCACAAAGCCCTTCCTGGATGAGGTAAGAGAGGTTCAGGTGAGCAAAGCCACCGGGGAGGAGCCAAATTGTTCCACTTGTCCCAAAGTTCAGCCCTAAACACACTTGGAAAACTCCTGCGTTTGCTGGAACTTCCCACCACAGAGGGAAAAACCAGACCAAAAATCCCATTCTCAGCCCAAGCCCAACAGCATTCCTGATGAAGTCAGAAACGTTACCCAGGACGAAACCAACGGGAACTGATCCAAGCCATCTTCCAAAGGATCTCAGACCTTCACTGACGAATGCTGGAGCTGGTCCAGCGCTTCAAGGGCACCATTCCTGCCACTGCCACTGCCATTAACTAACACAGGCAATTATTCACTATTACTCATTAACACTGCCGAATCCCAGAGCCGATTCCTGACTGGGAACACCAAAATCCCAAATCCAATCCGGGCAGAGCAAAGGGAAGAATCCCGATAATGAGTCAAAGGGAGAACAGTCACAAGGAAACCCCTCCAGCCATGGAGTTTCCATGGATACACCACAGCAGCACATCCCATTCCAAGGGTCCCAGGTGTCCCAGCCTGGACACTGAGCAGCCTCCAGCCCTTCCCTGAGGACACGGCCGGGATTCCAGGGTGGCACATCCCTGTGCCCCCAGAGGACAGCACAGGGAATGGCACAGGACGGAGCCAGGAGAGCGGGAATGGGGAATGTTCCATGGCAGGAACAGCTTCCCAAACGTGGTACGGAGCCAGGAGAGCGGGAATGGGGAACGTTCCATGGCAGGAACAGCTTCCCAAACGTGGTACGGAGCCAGGAGAGCGGGAATGGGGAATGTTCCATGGCAGGAACAGCTTCCCAAATGTGGTACGGAGCCAGGAGAGCGGGAATGGGGAATGGCAGGAGGAGCTCCCAATCCCAACACGTGCAGCTGGCGAGGAGGGGACCAGGGATTCTCTCAGGGCAGCACCAAGCCCAGTGAGCCCCAGTTTAAACCAGTTCAGAGGCAGTCCATGAGTGACAGGACAGTGGGAAGACGGGTTCAGCTCGGATACACCCTGGACACACCCTGGATACACCCTGGGCCCTTCACCAAGCACCACACTCTGGCTTTTCCAATAGATCAGTTCTGGTTTTTCCAATGGATCAATTCCCAGCCCACCCAATGGGGCAGAAAGGTCCCCTCAGGATGAGGGAGATCCCCGAGGGGTTGGGATTTCAAGGCCTGGCACAGGGATGAGCTCCAAGGATTGCCACTGATAAATCAGGATTTTAATGACAACTCTCTGGCCAGTGTGGGAAAAATGACTCTGGGATGCCATTGGAGAACAAGAAAGTAATTTAAATGATATTTCCTTCAGATATGTTCTTTGGGAATGTCCCTGCACCTTCACTCCAAACCTTTCACTGGGCAGTCTGGGAACTGGGATGCCCAAGCCCTTTGGAACAGACACTGAGGGCAACACTGGGCTTTTAGGGGTTTTTTTTGGTAACTTTTTTGGTATTTTTCTTTTTTTTCCAATCTGCACCCCCCAGGGTTTCCATTCCCTGCACACCTGCAGCTCTCCAAAGAGATGTTCTTGATGAAACCTTGTGCTGGAACCTTGGGATTCCATCCCAGGGACAGCAAAGCCTTGGGACACTTGGGGAAATTCCCTTGGGCTTTGCTGAGGACACAGGACCCCAGCAAACACCTGGGATTTTGCCTGCCTCAAGAGGAGAGGGAATTCTGTTTTAGGGAAGTTTTTGGCTGTGGAATTGCTGAGGGAATGATGGGAATATTCCCTGCTGGCCGCCCTTCCAGGGTGCAGTGGGATCTCCAGCCTGGGACATGCAGGGAATTCTGGACACACCTCTGGATAACCCTGGGTTGAGGGGGTACAGGACACCCCCAGCCTGTCCTGAGCCCAGGAATGCTCAACCCCAGCCACTCTGGCTCCATGGGCCATGGGATCACAGCTCCACACACACACTGGGATTTGGGATTCCCACCCTCCAGCTCTGCTCCCTCCCTCACTCTGCACCCGGTGCCCCCACAGGGCCAGGGACACTGGGAAGGGGCGCCCGATGGGACAGGGATGGGGACACTCCCAGCACCAGGGGGGTTTCCCATCCCCAAGGAGCCCTTTCTTCCCACATCCCACCCAGGACAGGCATGCCACGATCCAGGGATTCCCCAGGACTGGCCAAAGGGATGAGGTTCAGCTCTAACTGCGCCCAGGAGCCCCCTTCCCTCCCATCCCAGTGTGGAGCAGCTGGCACAGCGGGATCACCAGATCCCCACAGCAATGCCCAGGCAGGCAGAGCCACTGCACGGAACATTCCAGAACCACCCCCCAGGAACCTGCCCTTGCTGCTTTGGGTCTTGAGCCTGGAGATAAAAACCCAGCTCCTTGTGCTCCCAGTGCCCCCTTCCCAGGCTTCTCACGAGATCCAAGTGTGTGTATGAATATCCATGGAATGACACACATCTGTGTCCACCCACACCCTCAGCAGCCCCAGGGGCACCCTGTGATTATGGGAGACTCCAAGCACGAGGCAGGAGGGAAGCACGGAGCAGGACTTGGAGGGAGCCTTCATCACCTGGGCACTGAGCCCAGCAGGGCCAGGCAATGAGGGGACAAGGGGGACAGGGAATTCCATGCTCAGAAGCCAAGAGATCCTGCTCCAGCCCTGGGAAGCCCTTCCCTGGAGCACAGGGAGAAGGAAAACCCCAAGTGGGGCACTCCAAGCCTCCCTCCACACCCGCTGTGTCTCCAGAGGGACTGGAAGCTCTGCTTCAGAAGGATTTCCCATTCCTGGAATCCCCACAAAACCACTGGAGCCAGGCCAGGATCAGGCCCTGGCTGGTGGGAAGAACAAGCCCAGGGAAGTGGAGAGTGGAATGAACTGAGAGCCTCAATCCCAGCCGTGGAGGGATCATCCACAGGCACCCAACCCATGGAATTTGTGCATCTCCACAGGTCTGACCAAGCCTCAGTGATGTGTCTCAGCACTAAGTAATAAATTAACCCACTAATGAGCCCTGGTAACGAGCTGTGTTCGGATGTGGATATGCCCAAGGATATTATTATTATTATAATCATTATTATTAATATAATTATTATTATTAAAGCTCTCACTGACACGCAGGGACTCAAAGCCAAAGCTGAGGAATGCCAGGCTGGAATTGCAGCAGAAGGCACAGCCAGCCCCAGCTCTGGGGACAGGGTCATGGCTGCCCCATCCCTGTCCAGGTGGAATCTCTGCTCCCAAAGCTCAGCAGCCCGGGGGTGGAGGCCCTGTCCTGTCCCTCAGAGCCCACCCAAAGCACGGCTCCCATGGGAAGGGATCTGAGCCGGAAGGATGATCCAGCTGTGCCTGCCAAGGACATTCCCCTCATCCCTGATCCCACACGGATCTGGGCACAGCTGCCCCTGGGGCAGGCACAGGAACAGGCTGGAAGAGCACCCTGGCATCCCCTGGGATCCAGCCAGGCTGTACCAGCACATGGATCCTTCAGCTCCCATGGAATCAGCTCTGGGGCCCCAAGGATGCCCGATGTCCAGCAGAACTCTAGCACCAATCCTTGGAAAATTAAGACTTTAATGTGTCTCCAATCAGGACCTCAAAGCCACTGATCCTGTCTGAGAGTCCTGGCTGGAGCGGGATTGATTCCTGAACACCAAGCGGGGGAAGCAAAGCACAAAGTGAGATTTTTTTCCCTCCCAGTGCAATTAACTTTAAATTATTAATTTTAAATTACACGCAGCGAGTGAAGACTTCCCAAACAAGAGCCCTGCACCACCTGCCTCCCATGGAACTGGGGCTGGGGGACAGCCCAGCCCTGCCAGCAGCACACGAGTGGCCCACAGCCCCAGGACCCTGCAGGATCCCAGCCATCTCAGCACCCCAGCTCCTGGATCCAGCCCTTTCCCTACGAGCAGAACTGACCTGGGCACACAGGGCTGAGCCAGGGCTGTGGGAATGGTGCCCTTGGACCCAGCGGAGCAGCCCCACAGTGGCAACACCTGGCTCCCCCCCTGCCCTCCCTGCCCACCGAGCACATCCCACCAGCAGACACCACAGCACAGGGAAGGGATTTCTGCCTGTTGGGAGTGCGAGGTCCTTCCCACCCTCAGGAATCATCCCAAAGCAGCGGTCTGGCTCCCTGTGTGCCAAGCTCCAGCCTTTGCTCCAAAGGGAGGGTTTTTCAGGATTCCACATGCCGGGGGTTCCAGCTCAGCCGCCCCAGTGCCCCTCATGTGCCCCCCAGGCTGGGCTGGCAGTGAGCTCCAGCCTGGGCACATCCCATATCCCATGTCCCACATGCCATATCCCAGCTCCAGGTGCTCCCTTCACCTGGCCCTGCTCTCCCATCCCCCCTGAGGGATCTGGATGTCCCCCAGGGCTCTCCCATGCCCTTCCCCAACGCTGTCATCACCAGGTACAAAGTGCAAAAGTGTTGCTGTTCCTGCATCCATTAAAAACTTTAAAAATAGAACAAAACAAACAGAAAAAGGCTTTCCATCATCATTTGCAAATACATTAATTCAGTCTCCAAAGAGCCAGCAAAGCCCTGGTCACCTCCTCGTGGGCAGGGTCCCCTGCGGCCAGCACGGACATTGGCAGGAGAGGCCACCTCTGCCCCAGCCCCTGCCCTGACCCAGCACGTGTCCATGGAGAGCCCGGAGCAGCGCTGGAATGCAGGGACATCCCGTTCCCTGGACAGCTGGGCCTCAGCGTCACTCCCCAGCTCCGGCCGGGGACAACCCCGGCCTCGGCCCTGCCAACCCAATCCAAGCCCTCCCTGCTCCCCCCACGGAAGTGTTGGCATTCCTCCTCTCCTGTGAAATGTTTCTGGTAAGGCTTTATTGCTCTACAAAGCGGTGCAAAGGCTGCCCGAGGACAGCTCCATCAGGAACTTTGGTCACACGGCTGCGGGATTTGTGCGCTGGCCCCGGCCGCCGCTGGACCTGCTACCTTCCCAAGAGAAGCTGAATACTGTGTGCAATAACACTGGGAAAACAGCACTGAACCCCAAATCCAAAACAAAAACCAGGGGCACGGGGAAGGGGACAACTCAAATCAGGCAGAAGGCTTGGGAAGAGCCTGTCATTCCCGTGAGGACTGAACTCAATGCTACATTTCGACAATGCCGAGTGTCTTTCCGAACGGATCGGTGCTGTTGGATCTGCGTGTCTGGTCCTGAACGCCAGCTCGCTCTCATCAATGCAGCATTTATTAAAAAATAAAATTAAAATGAAAAAAAAAAAAAAAAGAATTGACAAATTGCATCACCAGGGAGCAGCCTGGCCTGGCTCACACACGTCCCAGGGCGGCGGCGGCATCAAGCGGGGCCGTTCAACGTGGCTTCGGTGCAGGGCAAGGCCTCGTCACTCCTGCAGGGACACCAGGGAGCAGCCTTAGGGACATGGCACAGGCCAGGAGAGCTCCCAACGCTGCCCTCATTCCTCCTGGGAACGCCCTTCTGCTGGGACCTGAGCCCCCCCCCCGGTTGTGTTCTGTCTGTGCAGTGAGGTGCTCTCAGCTCCCTGTGGAGAAACTCCCCCAGTGCCTCACGAATATTACAGGGAAAACCAATGTGGAATCAGGGAATGGCCTGGGTGGGAACAGACCGAAAAGCTGTCTATTTCCAACCCCTTCCAAGGTGATCAGAGGGATGGGGCATCTCCAACTCAAGGGCAGGCTGAGTTAGGAATGCTCAGTCAGGGAGAGCTCAGAGCCCTTTCCAGGGCCTGAAGGGGCTCCAGGAGAGCTGCAGAGGGACTGGGGCCAAGGCCTGCAGGGACAGCACCCAGGGAATGGCTCCCAGTGCCAGAGGGCAGCCAGGGATGGGATCTTGGCAATGAGGAATTCCTGGCTGGGCTGGGATTGCCAGAGCAGCTGGGGCTGCCCCTGCATCCCTGCAGTGCCCAAGGCCAGGTTGGACACTGGGGCTGGAGCAGCCTGGGACAGTGGGAGGTGGCCCTGCCATGGCAGGGCTGGCACTGCAGTGGCTCTGGGGTCCCTCCCCACCCAGCCATGCCAGGATTGTGGCCTCACCTGTCTCTCGTGGCCGTTTCTGTGGCAGTTGTGACAGCAGTGGCCACTCTCTGGTGCCCGTCCGTGTGCGTGGCCGCGCTGTTCCGGGCACGGGGGGCGTCAGCCGCGGGAAGCGTCTCCGGAGCTTTTCCGTCAGAGCCACTGCAGGAGAGGGCAGGGACGCCTCAGTGGAGCTCAGCCCACGGGAAAAGCAGGAATGGGGCTGGAATGGGGCTCGAATTCCAATGGGGAAAACAAAATTCCTCCTGCTCTCCTCACACAGGCCTGAAGATCCCATTGGGAATGAGAACTGGCAATAAGCTGGGATTCAAATCAGCGGGCACAAATCCTGGAGGCTCCAGATCCCAAACCCAACAGGACACACCAGAACAGCTCCTGGAGAGAGGCATTCCCAACTCCTGCTGCAAGTCCAGTCTGAGGAGCTCCCAAAGCACCATTCCAACTGCCATTGCTGGGATGGCACAGCCCCCTCTGCTCGGGCACGGACACAGACCCTGCTCTGCTCCACAGGCTCTGCCCAAGGCGCTCCTCAGGCTTCTGGGACACACAGAAAATCCTGGGTTTAGGGGTAGATCCTAAAACCCCATGGAGGAAAACCCCCAGGAATTGGATGTCCAGAATCCAAACATGCTGAAGGCACTCCAGGGACCATGGATGTGCCACCTGAGGGACAATGTCCCCAGTGAGGCACCAACAACCAAAGCTCAAATCCTGGGAAAGGAGAACTGCAGGAGCAAACCCTCCCAATCTCTTGTTTGGAATAAACCCACCCAGATTTGCAGCTGGAGAAGGGATTTCTGTGCACATCCCATTTTTTTGGCTTCCAAGGCAGAGGATGAGCTGCCCCAGGAATGTTTTCTTCCCAGTTTCCATCCAGAACAATTCTTTCTCCCTCTCTCCCAGAGCAAACCTCCACAAAAGGGAGAAAAGCTGGAGATGGCTGAGCTGAATCCTGTCACTGGCTCTGGGGGAGTTTATGGAATAAAATAATCCCAGCTGGATAATTGGACATGTGATGGAGATTGGAGACTGAGGTTCTATTTCTGGAGCACTTCTCTTGAAAAAAACCATTAGAATGAGGAATAATGAGATCCAAACATTCCCTTTTCTCCAGGCTCACAAGCTCCTCAGAAGTACCAAAATACACCTAGGAGAGACACGGATGGAGCTGTGTTCCCGGAATGTCACTGGAAAAAAACACTTCCCACACAAAAAACTGGAGCTCAACATTTCCATGGCTCAGAGAGAAATATCTGAAGCCCAGTCCCTTAAGTTTCCAGGGCAGGAGGATTCCAGAGTTACCTGAGCACCCATGGGGGCTCAGGAATTTCTCTGCCTTCCCTGGGCTCCTGGAAAATCCCAGCTGGACACACACCCCTGGTCACCCAGGGGTGACACAACCCAAACAAGGAGTTTGTGTGGGATGTCCTGTTGTCCCCTGGACACCCCTGAGGTGGGACCCCAAACCTTCCTGGGCAGCAGGATCCAAACTGGGGAGCTGAGAGCAATTCCTGAGCTGCATCTCCCCAAGGAGCTGGGGAGATGGGATGGGGCTCACAGAGGGTGGAACATCTGGAGGATTCACTGGACTGCAACATCTGGTTCTCCATGGAATCCACAGAGGCCTTGGGCAGCTCCAAGGATAAAAGACCTCCAACGTGGATTCCAGGGACAAGGGGAAGGAAAACCCTGAGTCCCTGAGCAGCTCCAAGGAGAACCAGAGATCCCTGTGTGGATTCCAGTTATTCCAGGGGCACAAGGGGATGGAAAAACTGCCCCTACAGCAACAGGAATGGGGTTTGGTGCAGGTTTCGGGGAAGTGCTTGGAAGAGAGTCACAACCCACAGAATGACTCCAAAATGTTCCTGATTTCCCTGGAATCATTAAGGAATGTGGTAAGAAATGGATATTCCCACTGCAGGCAGAGTGGTCTGGGAGAGCTGAGGACACTGGGAGGGCTCTGGGTGGTGATTCCCACTGGAAGCCCAGGCCTGGAGCAGCTCCAGTCCCAGCTGTGGCACCGCCCCTGTCCTCCCACAGCTTCCCTGGGATCTCTGGCCATGGACACAGCTGTGGAGAGCCACAGGCACCTGTCAGGGGAGGCCCTGGCTGCTCTTTGCCACACTGGAATCAGCAGGCAGGCAAAGGCAGGCAGGTTTGGGAAGCTTTGTCCCTATGGAATGTGCTACAGACACTTGTCTGGAGAGGAAAACATTCCCCATGTGCCAAACCAGGAACAAACACTTCCCTCCCGCCAGGAAAGCAGGGAAGAGGTGAGAACACCTCAAGGAAGATGGACACAGGAACAGCTCCCCAGGGAATAGGCACGGCTCCAGAGCCCCAGGAACGTCTGGACAACTCTGGGATTGTTGGGCTGTCCTGGGCAGTTGGGCCAACGAGCCTGTGAGTCCAGTTTAGGACATTCCCTGATCCTACTGGGAACCCAGCCAGCCCCAGGCAAGGTCCTGCTGTGCCCACACCATGGGCCAGGGCAGGAAAAGCACCTGGAGCACACTTTGGATCAGATCCAATGGATCCAACTCCACACAATCCAAGAGAAGGAGAGGCTGCTTTCAGCACAGCTGGAACTGCTGTGCCTTCCCACCAAGCCACAGCCAGGCCATTCCCCAGGCACAGAGAGTGCATTTATCAGAATTAATGCATTTCTCAGAACTAATGCATTTATCAAACTGAAACGTATCAAAATTAACTGTGTTTATCAAAATGAATCCATTTATCCAAATTAACTGCATTTATCAGAATTAATGCATTTATCAAAATCAACTGTATTTATCAGAATTAATGTAATTATCACAATTAATGCATTTCTCAGAATAAGCTGCTTCCAACCTAACAGACACTGGGATAGCTCCTGCCCTAATTCCAGGGAATTCTGCAATCCCAGTGGTTTCCCAGCCCCAGGCCCCCAGGAGCTGCTGCTGGCTGAGCACACCCAGGAATGACCCCAAGCTGTCACCAAGCATTGCTGAAGGAAACTCCTGGTCCTGAGTCAGGTGCACAAACCCAAGGACTCAGGTAAAAAACACAAGGAAATCCATGGAAGAGTATGAGGAAAAACCTCAGAATCTTAGAACTGAGTAAAATCTCTGTGGATGCAGCAGATGCTGACTGGGCTGGGCAGCAGCTCATCCCCTGTGATTGGAGCAGGCTGGATTGAGGATCCAACTCTGACAAACCTGCCCAATCCCTGCATCTGCTCCAGCCTTTCCTGGTGCTTTTATCATTGAATGACTTTGGGGAAAACAAGAACCTGAGTGGGTTAAACCTTCCCCCCATGGCTGCAGGAGGATCCCATGGGAGCCTTTACTCTTCTTTTCCAAGCGATCCTACCCAGATCCTGCCCTGGGTCTGATCGCAGATCATGGACAGAGATGCTCCTGTGACACTGGAGTGGCTCAAAGGACAGGGACAGAGATGCTCCTGTGACACTGGAGTGGCCCAAAGGACAGGGACAGAGATGTTCCTGTGACACTGGAGTACCCAAAGGACGGGGACAGAGATGCTCCTGTGACAATGGAGTGCCCAAAGGACAGGGACAGAGATGCTCCTGTGACAATGGAGTGGCTCAAAGGACAGGGACAGAGATGCTCCTGTGACACTGGAGTGGCCCAAAGGACAGGGACAGAGATGTTCCTGTGACACTGGAGTGGCCCAAAGGATGGGGACAGAGATGCTCCTGTGACAATGGAGTGGCCCAAAGGACAGGGACAGAGATGCTCCTGTGACAATGGAGTGGCCCAAAGGACAGGGACAGAGATGCTCCTGTGACACTGGAGTGGCCCAAAGGATGAGGACAGAGATTCTCCTGTGACACTGGAGTGGCTCAAAGGACAGGGACAGAGATGCTCCTGTGACACTGGAGTGGCCCAAAGGACAGGGACAGAGATGTTCCTGTGACACTGGAGTGGCCCAAAGGACAGGGACAGAGATGTTCCTGTGACACTGAAGTGGCCCAAAGGACGGGGACAGAAATTCTCCTGTGACACTGGAGTGGCCCAAAGGACGGGGACAGAAATTCTCCTGTGACACTGGAGTGGCCCAAAGGAGCCCCAACCCTTCCTTGGAATAACCCTGTGCTAAATATGTCCCTCAGCCCCCTGTGCCATGCCAGGGCAGGACCTGCTCCCAGGGGATATGGGGACATGGAGCCCACAGGAGAAGGGACACTGGAGCCACGTGGGGCCATCCCAGCCCAGGGGCCATCCCAGCCCACGCAGATCCCTTCCCACCTGGAGGGAGCTGCCCTGTCCTTGCCGGGCTCCTGTGCCGTGGCCGTGGATTCCGTGCCAGCCTTGGCCTTGTCGTCGTCGTCGTCGTCGCTCTCGGAGCTGCCTGAGGAGCTGCTGTCCAAGGCCACCAGCGGTGCCTTCCGTGTCCCACACGCGTTCCACACACAGGGAGAGGCAGCAGTGCTGGCTGGGGGAGGAAGAGCCCACACTGGAACCTCGGGAAAGCTGCCTGGACCAGCCCGAGGGGTCAAACAGGGCCTGCAACCACTGCAGATGGTCTGGGGATCGTGGGATGGGTTGGGTGGGAAGGATCTCAAAGCCCACTCAGTGCCACCATGGGCAGGGACACCTTCCACTGTCCCAGAGTGCTGCCAGCCCTGTCCAGCCTGGCCTGGGACACTTCCAGGGATAAATGAAGTGTGCCTGTGATATCAGTTCCACCCCACTGCAGCTCCATCCCTTCCCTGCTGACACTGTCCCAACAAACCCTGGGGATCTCTGCCTTTGTTTTGCTCACTGACCCCGCAGGGAATGCTCAGAGCAGGGGCCCTGCAGGGAGGTTTCTCCTGCCCCAGGGGCTCCATGCAGAGCTCTCAGGGGCTGAGAGCTCCCCGTGTGGCCCAGTGTCACTCACAGTTCTTGTCCTGGCCCTGTGCCGGGGTCCCGTCGGTGCCGCCACTCTCGGTGTCCACGGGGGAGCTGCAGCGAGGGCCGGACTCGGAGCTGGGGAGGGAAGAGCCCTGAACACGGAGCCAGGATAATCCCAGAGCCTCCCAACAGCCCCAGGAGCAGCCACCAGCCCTGCTCTTCCTTCCCATCACTACTGTGAATTTCTCTAAACCTTATTTCCTGGTTTTCTACCCCAGTGAGGACACAGAAAGTGGGGCTGTGTCCCACCCCAATCAGGAGCACTGGGAAGCACAAAGGAGCCCTGATCCAGGATCATCAGACAGCATTAAACAATAAAAGGGAAGCGATGGGAAGGGGAAGAAGAAAGGATTGCAGCCAGGCACTCCATCAAAACGTACCCCAAATATTGCCCGGTTCCCAAGCCCCAGGGGAGCTGGGATTCCGTGGCTCTTACCAGCAGAAAGGCTGGAAGTCTGTGAACTTGGCCCAGCCCTTCTCCTCTGGGGCGCTGCTCTGCGGGGCGGCCGAGTCCCACACGCTGGAGCCCACGTCCATGGCCACGGGCGGCGTGGGGCCCGCGGGCTCGAACACGGCCGTCCAGCCAGCCCCTAGGGACACCATAGCCTGGGTGCCAGCCCGGCCTCAGCCGGCCAGGAGCACCCCAGGGACACTGCAGGCAGCCAGGGACATGCCAGGGACATGCCAGGGATCCCAGGAACACAGCAACCCAGCCGAGGAACACCCCTGGGATCCCAGGGACAGACCAGGGACATGCCAGGGATCCCATGGATCCCAGGGACAGAGCAACCCAGCTCAAGGAACACCCCTGGGATCCCAGGAACACAGCAACCCATCCCAGGAACATCCCAGGGATCCCAGGGACATCCCAACTGCACCCAAGGGATCACAGGGACATAGCAACCCATCCCAGGAACATGCCAGGGATCCCAGGGACACAGCAACCCAGCTCAAGGACATCCCAGGGACATCCCAACTGCACCCAAGGGATCGCAGGGACATAGTAACCCAGCCCAGGAGCACCCCTGGGATCCCAGGGACACAGTAACCTAACCCAGGAACATGCCAGGGACACAGCAACCCAGGCCAGGAACATCCTTGGGATCCCACGGGCATCCCAGGGACATCCCAATGCATCCCAGGAACACCTCTGGGATCCCAGGGACACAGGGACCCATCCCAGGGCCCCCCTTCCCCACCCGCCTGTGTCCCACAGAAATCCCTCTGCAGATGTCTATCCCCAGGAGAGCACCCATGGAGACAAATGACACCAGGGGTGGCTTCATCCCCCAAGCCAGTGATTCCCAGCTCCAAGTCCCTCAGTTCCCTGCCAAAAGGTCCCATCTCCATCTCCAATGGTTGGGTTTCAGGTAAAGAACTGCTCAATGGATTCCAATATTTAAGATCCTAAAAATCACCCACTGCTTTTTTCACAGTCCTGGACAATTCCTCCTCCAGAACCCCCTTCCACTTCTAGTCCCACTTCCAACCTCCAGTCCTACAAATCCCATCTTTGGAATAGCATTTTTCCTTAGCTTAGGGAAAAGGGAGGATTGCAGAGCTCTGCAGGAACAGAACCAGGCAGGAGAGGCCCCTCGAGGCTGTATCCCCAAAAATGATCCCAAATTCCAACTGAATCTGCAGAGGGTGACTGGGCTGCCACACAGAGAGCCCACTGGAACCGGAAGGTTCATACTGGTTCTTCCCAATGGACTGGAATTATCTGACACTTCCAAAGGGGTGCAGAGAGCAGGAACCTGGGATAATCCTGCCTGGTGCTCAGAGTGACAACACAAAGGCAGCACCCAGAGAAAAAAATGGTATAGAACTCAAAAAGTGTGGAAAAAGGGATGGTTGGGAAAGTGTTTTGTCCCTTGGAATTGTTCTGCTAACAGCACCGTGTGTGTCCAGCATTCTCATGGTGTCATTTACACAGAGAGTTGTGAAAACACCTGAAGGGAGCAGACAAAATGGAAAAGGACAATGTACAGGGGCCTGGAGGGACAGGACACAGGGAATGGCTTCCAGCCCCAGGTTTAAACGGGGTCTTAGGAAGCAATTCCTGTCTGAGAGGGTGAGCAGGGGCTGTGCTGGAATTGCCAGAGCAGCTGGGGCTGCCCCTGCATCCCTGCAGTGCCCCAGGCCAGGCTGGACACTGGGGCTGGAGCAGCCTGGGACAGTGGGAGGTGTCCCTGCCATGACAGGGTGGCACTGCAGGGGCTTTGAGATCCCTTTCCTGGGATTCCAGGAAAAGCCAGTCCCTCTGCACTCCTGCTCCAGTCACTGTAGGGATGGGTTTGCCACAGGCAAAGCACAGCTGGAAAAGCAGAACAGGCAGGGATGAGGGTGTGGAGACACCTGGCAAAGGTGGGCACACAACTCCTGTCCTGGGATGGGAAGAGTTCAGGTCACATTCCTGCACTGCTGCTTTGATTGGGATTTGCACTGAAGGAGCTGGGATTCAGGGAGCCATAGAACCATGGAATGGCTTGGGTGTGAGGTGACCTTACAGCTCCTCTCATTCCAAGTCCTGCCATGGGCAGGGACCCTTTCCCTGGGATTCTCCCTGTGGGGCTGCCTGGCACAAGGGCTGTACTGGGGCAGAGCTGCAGCTCCAGAGACTCCAGAGGCACAAGGTGAGCCCTGACATTCCCGTTTCCCCTGGCCAGGAGGAACTGGGGATTGCCCAGAGGAGCTGGCAATGTGTGAGTGCTGCTGTGATCCCTGCAGCCCCAGGGATGTGCTCCCAAGCCCGGTACCTTGGCAGGAGTCTGAGTCCTTCTGCTCTGGGGTGCTGCCCTTGTGTGGGGAGGGTGGTGGTGGCCGCTCCTCCTCCTCCTCTGAGTCCACGCTGCCGTCGTGGTCCCCGTTCTCCAGGTCACTCTTGGAGCTCTCTGACGTCTGTGAGGCTCCAAACCTGAACGGGAACTGGGAATGAGCCATGCCTGGACCCCTCAGCTCCTCCTCCCTGTCCCTGGGGAAACAGCCCAGAGCCTTTGCCACGGTTGCTTCCCCCAAAATATTTCCCCCAACTGCTCAGGGCAATCGTGGGTGCTCAGAGGGATTCCCCCAGATTCCTGAGGGCTTTGCTGCCAGCATTCCCTGGAGGTGCAGGACAGAGCCAGGGCTGGGGACACCACACAAACCAGTGCTCAGAGAGGGGACAGACACTGGTGTGGAGCCCACCCTGTGCCCAGGCAGGACCTGAGGCTGTTCATGCTTGGCAAGGACACAGGGAAGCCTTGGATGTTTTCTCCGTTTCCTTTGATCACACTGCAGATTGGGAATTATGGAAATAACTTTATTTTAATGAGTGGCTCTGTCAAAGGGATGAAAAATTATTTCAAAGCCCGAGATGCCCCTGGGAGGCCTCTTGTTCTCACTTTTCTGATTTGAATGTTCTGAGAAAGAATGTTCTGCCCACTCCCCTCCGTCTCACCTCCTCCTCCTCCTCCTCCTCTCCAAGGATGAGAGAAGGAGCAAATTCCAAGTGTTTCACACTAAGGGTGGGGGTTTTTAATGTGTTTGATGGAAGACTCATTAATTAGGTGTTCCCACTGTTAATGAATTCCCTTGAACTGGATCTGTTTCCAGTTCAGGAGAACCCCCAACACAAGTGGCAGGGAAAGTGCTCAGGGTTGTGTCAGACAAAACCTCACAGCCCCAAAATGACACAAAACCCAAGGAATTCCTCCTGTCCTGGACTGAAATGTGCAGATTCCCAGCAGCAGGGGGAAAATCAGAGTTCTGCTTTCACCTTACCGTGTCCTGGACTTGACCTGGGTGGCGTAGGAAATGTCCTTCTCCTCCCAGATATCCTCCTCCTCCTCGTTGTCGTCGAACTGCTGGATGCGCTCGTTGCAGCAGGCCTCGAACAGGGAGGCGTTGGGCTGCAGGACCAAAGGGAAATCACTTTCCACAGGTTCTCTGGAGACACTGCTTTAAGCCCAGGTCTCAGGGCTGACCAAATCCAGCTTTGCTCAGGAGCTGAGATCACCTGGGACCACCACAGTCCAGGTGCTGCTTTGCTTTGGGGCAATAAACCAGGAAAGGCCAGGAACAGCCTGGCAATGTTTAAATCCATGAGAAATCCATCTCTGCCTATGCTTCCCTAATCTGTGTCTGGAAAGATGATCTAAAGCTGTGAGAGCTGGGGGTGTTCACTTGGACAGGAGAGGAATCCAGAGATATCTCAGAGCCCTTTCCAGGGCCTGAAGGGGCTCCAGGAGAGCTGCAGAGGGACTGGGGCCAAGGCCTGCAGGGACAGCACCCAGGGAATGGCTCCCAGTGCCAGAGGGCAGCCAGGGATGGGATCTTGGCAATGAGGAATTCCTGGCTGGGCTGGGATTGCCAGAGCAGCTGGGGCTGCCCCTGCATCCCTGGCAGTGCCCCAGGCCAGGCTGGACACTGGGGCTGGAGCAGCCTGGGACAGTGGGAGGTGGCCCTGCCAGGGACTCTGCGCCAGGGGTGCTGCCTCAGAGGGAACATTCCCTGGCAGGAAGCCCTGAGGGGCCAGCAGTGCCCAGCTCTCTCAGGCCCCTGTGCATTGCCCAAAGCCCCCAAAGCTTTGCTGTCAGCATGCAAGCAGCACCTTTGCAGCAGCACCCTGACCCCAGCCCCAGCCCAGAGCCCCACTCACGCTGTCGTCGTCGGCATCGATGTTGAAGTTGATCTCGGCGATGCGGTCGAAGGGAGCGCTGGGAGGGAGGAGGGAGGGAAGAGCCTCAGGAGTGGCCCGTGCTTCCCAGAGGGACAGCAGCAGGGCCAGAGCCACTCCTGGGCTGGGATCCCTGCACAGCCACTCCTGCCCATGGTGTACCCTCAACGAGGGAAGGGTTACTCCAGCCTAGAACATTCCCTGCCCATGGCAGGGGGGGCACTGGAGGGGATTCCTGGGGCACAGCCGGGGGGGTCGGGCTGTGCTCCAGGGAACAGGGACAGGAGCAGAGGGAACGGCCTCAGGCTGGGCCAGGGCAGCCTCAGGGTGGGAATCAGCAGGAATTTCCCCATGGAAAGGGGCTCAGGCCTTGGAAGGGGAAATTTGGAGTGCCCATCCCTGTTGGTGTCCCAGGAATTCCTGGAGGTGGCACTCAGGGCTCTGGGCTGGGGACAAGATGGGCATTGGGCACAGCTTGGGCTGGGAGGGCTTTTTCAGCCTCAGGGATCCTGGGATTCTGTGAATCTCAGTCTCAAAGCCCAAGGTGTGCTGTTCTGTGAATATCCCAGGATGTGAATATCCCCGGATGACCCAATTCCCAGTCCAAGGCAGGGGAGCCCCTGGTGGGAACAGCAGAGGGTGCTACAAGCCCAGAAATTCCCAATTCCCAGAGTTTGGATTCAGGAAGAGCTCATCTCCCTACTCATGGATCTGTAGCTTTTCCAGTGTCATTTTCTTTGAAAGACTCTTGTGTTCAACACTCCTGCAATCGCAGGAACATTGACACATGACTGATAGTCCTTAAATATTCCAATTCACTTCCAGCCCAGTGTCCACCACCTGGAAACAGCTGGCAGGAAGCACCACCCCCAGAATATTCCTGGTTTTGCAGGACATTCTCCTTTTCCAATCACAAACAGAGCTACAACATGCCAGGCAGACGTTTTCCAGTTTCATGTTCATTTTACACCTGGCACAAAGTCCCTGGGGCAGCTCCACAGGGATTTAACTCCTCCCTGCCCCTCACTCACATGGGGCTGTATTTGCCAGCAGTGAAAAGTCTTTTATTTATTTTATTTTATTTTTAAAAAATTATGTGTAGAACAGAATAATTTCTGTTCATTTCAATTCTGATTCTATTCTAGAACTTTTTGGCCTTATCAAATTTCTGACATCTCTGAGGCTCAGGAAAAACCCTGGATGGGAAGGGCAGAAGTGCTGCCTTGGATCCTAAGGAATTCCTGGGATGGAGACAAACCCAGGAGCACTGGGATCCCCTGGAGCACTGCTCTTTCCATAATTGGTCCCAATTTCAGGACTGTTATGGCCACTGGGATAATCCCAGTGCTAGGTACATTTCTAAGGAGAGAGGATGAGCTGCAGCTTAAATGGGATTGAATGAATTCTGTAAAAGCAGCGAATTCCAAGCTCTGGATTCAGCAAGTTGTGTAACACTGAATCCCCTTCCCTGTCTCCCTGAAATGCCACTGCTCCTGATCACCCCTGCTCCCTTCCTCAGGAGGGGGAAAATGGCTGCATTTTCCATGGATTCCATCAGAGCATTGTCCCTTCACTCCTCCTTCCAATAAGGATTTAATGCCTTGGAAAAGATCTGTTTAACTGCCCCGAGTTTGCTCTCATGCTTTGTCTTTAAACTCATTCCAGACCAGGGCTGGACAACAGTTGCCTGCTTTATTTCAAATATCCCTCTTTGAAATGAAAGAATACTTTTCCTTGCTTCTCCACCTGGCTCTGGAGATCGGGCTGGGCTCCTGGAAAACAAGGAGCTGTTTACAACCTGAGGAGGGATAACAAGGCTCATTTGTAAACCTGAAGCAGAGGGAGGATGGGATGCAAAGAGGCTGAAATGCCAATCACCCCCAGACTCACTTGGTGCTGCCACCAAACACCCCCAGACTCACTTGATGTTGTCATCCTGGTCTGCAAACTCCTCATCATTGAAGCCAAACTGATCCACGAAATTGGCTGTCATCTGCTGGATCTGGTACTCAGAGAAGGCCTGGGAAGGGATCCCAAAAAATCCATCAGTAGGGTGTTCAGAGACACTCCAGAAACAGTCAGTGGAGCTCCTCCAGGAAAACACTAAAATCCCAGGGAAGAGTGTGAAATCCACACTCTGACCCCCTCCCAGAGCAGGGTCACACAGAGCTCTGGCATTCCCATCCTGATGCCTCCTGCCCTGCTCCCAGGTGGATCCCAGGCCATGGAACTGCTCTGGGAAAGCCCAAAGGAAATGGACACAGACTGGGAGCAGACTTCAGGAAGCTGCTCCACACCAGGATGGACCAAAGGCAACTGGAGCAGCGAGTTTCCCAGAATTAGTGCAGATGTTCCCAACTCACCTGCTGGAGAGTGAGCTCATTTGGAAAAGCACTTTCAATGTCCTCATCCTCGCTGGAGGAATGCAGGTGGTGGGTGCTCACCTGGGAAAGCACAAACCAGTCAGGGAACCAGGGAAAGCTGGAAAAGCTCCAATGTTTCAGTTCCACCAAAGCCCAAACTCCTGCCCAGGCAGGAGCTGCCCCAAGGAATCCCAGGGACCAGCTCAGCACCACAGATCAGCTCTGCTGAAGGACTGTTATGAAACATGTTTATGGAAATGCTTTCTACTCTGCCTTGAAGCGTTCTTCAGCAAAAGAAGGAAAATGAGAAAAACCAGGAATATCCCTTTCTTCTGTGAGGGGAAGCCCAGCTGGCACTGGAGTGACCAACTCACCAAATCCACCGTGTTTCTCCGGTTTGTCTCCGTCAGCGTCTCCTCCACAAAACTCTCCCACCTGCCCCTGCAGTCCTCAGGCAACTCTGGAACAAAAGGGACACAGAAACCATGGGAGTTCTGAGCCAGCTGAACTCCCTGGGGACTCACCCGGGCTGAGGACTCACAGCTTCTCTCACCTTGGGGGTGCCCTCCCCTCCCATCTCTCCCAGCCCAGCACAACTGGGAGCACAAAGGTGAGCAGAACTTGAGGGTTGAGGCAGGGAAATGGAAAAATAATAAAAGGAGAAAAGAGCAGAAGATTGTGCCTCCAGATTGTCACTGCCCACCTGTACCCCCTCCCAGCCTGGCAGGGGCTGAGCAGTGGGGATGGAAAATGTGGAAAATGGAAAATCTTCCTTCCTCCCACCCAAAGCCATGGGACAAAACCAGTTTTCCAAGTGGATCCAGTGAGGGCAGGATGGACACAGTCTGGCAATGGGAATATCCCTGATGAGCACATCTGGGGACACAACCTCATGTCTCCTTCCTCAGAGAGTCATGGAATTATGGAATGGGTTGGGTGGGAAGGGACCTCAAAGCCCACCCAGTGCCACCCCTGCCATGGCAGGGACACCTCCCACTGTCCAATCTTAACCTCACTGTGTGAAAACCAGGAGCAGCCAAATGGGGTCTCACCATACTTTAAATGATGGCATATTGTGGGATTTCCCTGGGAACACTTTCCAATGGGAAAGGATCTTGAGGAAATACCTGCAGTGAGCCCTCCCAGGAGCTCCCAAGGGTTATTTTTCCCTGGAGAGCAGTGAAAAGTGAAGGAGAAGGAGAAGGAGAAGGAGAAGGAGAAGGAGAAGGAGAAGGAGAAGAAGAAGGAGAAGGAGAAGAAGAAGGAGAAGGAGAAGGAGAAGGAGAAGGAGGAGGAGGAGGAAGAGGAGGAGGAGAAGGAGGCCGAGGAGGAGCAGCAGGCGGTACCTTTGATGAAGTCACTGATCTGGGCCTGCATGGGCCCCTTCTCCATGTTGTGCACCACGGCGTTGGCGATGCGGGTCAGGTGCCCCATGTTCCCTCTCCTCCTGCCGCCCTCTGCCCTGGAACAGAGAGCAGCCGCTACCCTCGGAGCCGGGACACCCTCGGGGCCAGGATACCCACAGAGCCAGGACACCCATGGAACCAGGATACCCACAGAGCCAGGACACCCACGGAACCGGGATACCCTCGGAACTGGGATACCCATGGAACCAGGATACCCACAGAGCCAGGACACCCACAGAGCCAGGACACCCATGGAACCGGGATACCCTTGGAGCCGGGACACCCTCGGAGCCAGGATACCCAGAGAGCCAGGACACCCATGGAACCGGGATACCCACGGAACTGCAATATCCACGGAGCCAGGATAGCCACGGCACTCGGGTACCCATGGAACTGGGACAACCCACGGAGCCAGGGCACCCATGGAACTGAGATACCCAAGGAGCCGAGACACCCATGGAGCCAGGATGGGATGCCCATGGAGCCAGGATAACCACAGAGCCAGGACAAAGCCCTGGGAATAGCCCCAGCATTCCTGCTCCACTGGCCACAGAATTCCAGCCACAATGGCCACAGCATTCCTACCCCAATGCCCACAGAATTCCAGCCACAATGGCCACAGCATTCCTGCCCCACTGGCCACAGAATTCCAGCCACAATGGCCACAGCATTCCTGCCCCACTGGCCACAGAATTCCAGCCACAATGGCCACAGCATTCCTGCCCCAATGGTCACAGAATTTCAGCCCCACACAGGGATCAGCCCTGCTCTGGCAGGATGGGCTGAGCTCGGCCCCACTACAGGGACCTTCCTTCATTTTGCCCTGTTCCCTCCTGATCCCTCCTCCTGCCCAGGTAACATGGGAGAGGATCTAAACAAGGAGCTAAACACGGAAAAGATGCAGGAATAAATCTGATTGCAATTCCCAGGGAAGATAACACCCAAAGTTAAGGGTCTACAGCACAGCTACTGGCAGAGCTCCAGGGTGGGACTGGGATTGCAGCAGTGACTCCCCCAGAACAGCAGACATTCCCATCCTAGCATGGGATTGCCCCTGGGATAAAACCAGTTCCCAACACAGAGCCCGAGCAGCCTCGAGTCCCTGCTCTGGCTCCTCACTGCTTCCTCTCCTGCAGAGTGAAGCCGTGCTCCAAGCCAGCCCAGGGAATGGTTTGGGTGGGAAGGGACCCTCCAGTGCCAGCCCTGCCAGTGTCCAGCCTGGCCTTGGGCACTGCCAGGGATCCAGGGTCAGTCCCTGCTGCTCTCCATCTGCCCACTGAGAGCAGCCAAGGAAACTCCACCTTCCCAAAGCCCCAGCTGAGATTCCTCTGCTTAAATCCCTGGTTTTTCCTTCCACTCAGATTCTTTCCAGTGTGGTGGTGGCTGGAACTCTGGCAGGAAGAAGGGATGAGCTCTGGCTCCTTTCTGGTTTAATCAGGAAAACTCCCAAGCAGCACCCAGGGATATTTTTGGTCCTACAGAACTGGGCAAGGAAATGCCCAGCAAAATTCCTTATGTGGACAAGAGGCTGTAAAAAGAACCAAAAACCCAAAACCCCAAATCACAGCAACAAAAAAAAAAAAATGTAATCCAGATCTCAATCCACCAATTATGGCCTAAACAACTCCACTGGGACTCCAAAGGCCTTGGAAGCCACCAGGAGCTCAAAATAGAGAGGGAGGACCAAACACTGAGCTGGACACAGAAACTGAAGCCTCTGGAATATTTCCACTTGAATGTTTTAGTTCTTTTAGAATATTTAGTTCTTATCAGCCCAATCAGCACAAGGGGTTTATAAAGCTAAAATAGGAAATCCAGGCCACAAATGCTTGGCCACCCCAACTTCCAACAGTTTTCTACTCCGGGAAGAATAAAATTGTGCACTTGAAACAAACAAACAAAAAAGTTTAAAAAGTGAATATTCCATGGGATTCCCTGAGAAAGCAGGAAAGCAGAAGACTGAGTGTTTGGGATGGGGTGCTGGAAACATCCATAAAACCAATCATGCCTTCAAATCTGTCTGTTTGGGAATTTGGCTTGTCAGCATGCAAACCACCCCAGTTCCAAATCCCAACCAAAATCCAAGTCTGTTTGGACACCATTCAAATGGAAATTCTCCAAGAATATTCCCAAGTCAGTGTGCAGCCCCAGGCCAGCAATTCCTTACTGGATTTTGTCATTGGCTTCCCAGGCGTCCAATATCCTCTGCACCAGGCAGCACTTCTGGAACAGCTGTGGGGAAAACGGGAGGATATTCAGGATTTTCCAAAGGAGAGCTGTGGATCCTCCTGCTCCTTCCCTGGCTGCTCCTCAGGAGCTCAAACCTTCCCCTGCCCAAGAGCCCAGTTCCTTCCTGGTTATTCCCCAGAGGATCCCAGCACAGCAGCAACACCTGGAGATCCCCAGCAGCAGGAACTAAAGCACTGCTGGCATTTTCCAGCCACCACGCTGAGGCCTGGCCACTCACAGCTGGAATGGTCTTGGTTAGCTTTTTGTCCAAAATTTGTAGTAAGTTTTACTTTAAAAAATGGAATTTGAATAATAAATGGGAGGTAATTTTAATAAATACTAAGGGATTCACAGGGTCATTAAATGAGGGGGATGCTGCAAATAAAGGCACAAAAGCCACCACAGCTCCATGAGAACCACTACAAATGATAATAACAAAGCCCACTAAAAATAGATAAAAATAATAATAAAACCCACTACAAATCATAATAAATAATAATAAAACCCACTAAAACCAGATAATAATAAAGCCCATAAAATTTTGATAATAAGTAATAAAACCAATTTTTAAAGGCAATAAATTATAAAAAAACCCACTAAAAATTACATATAAAAATAACTAACAATAAAAAAAATCTACATTGAGACAAGTGCCTGCTCTGGAACAGCGCACCCCAGAGATCCCTGGTGACCCCAGCCCACCCCAGAGATGCTCTGGTGACCCCAGCCCACCCCAGAGATCCCTGGTGACCCCAGCCCATCCCAGAGATCCCTGGTGACCCCAGCCCATCCCAGAGATCCCTGCTGACCTCAGCCCATCCCAGAGATGCTCTGGTGACCCCAGCCCCAGACCAAGGATCCCTGGTGACCCCAGCCCACACCAGAGATCCCTGGTGACCCTAGCCCATCCCAGAGATGCCCTGGTGACCCCAGCCCCACCACAAGGACCCTGGTGACCCCAGCCCATCCCAGAGATCCCTGGTGATCCCAGCCCCGGTTACCCCAGCCCATCCCAGAGATCCCTGCTGACCCCAGCCCACCCCAGAGATCCCTGGTGACCCCAGCCCCACCCCAGGGACCCTGGTGATCCCAGCCCATCCCAGAGATCCCTGGTGACCCCAGCCCCACCCCAGGGACCCTGGTGATCCCAGCCCACCCCAGAGATCCCTGGTGACCCCAGCCCCACCCCAGGGACCCTGGTGATCCCAGCCCATCCCAGAGATCCCTGCTGACCCCAGCCCATCCCAGAGATCCCTGCTGACCCCAGCCCATCCCAGAGATGCTCTGGTGACCCCAGCCCATCCCAGAGATCCCTGCTGACCCCAGCCCATCCCAGAGATGCTCTGGTGACCCCAGCCCATCCCAGAGATCCCTGCTGACCCCAGCCCATCCCAGAGATGCTCTGGTGACCCCAGCCCATCCCAGAGATCCCTGCTGACCCCAGCCCCACCCCAGGGACCCTGGTGATCCCAGCCCATCCCAGAGATCCCTGCTGACCCCAGCCCACCCAAGAGATCCCTGCTGACCCCAGCCCACCCCAGGGACCTTGCTGACCCCAGCCCACACCAGAGATCCCTGCTGACCCCAGCCCAGCCCAGGCACCCCGCGGCCCCAGCCCCAGCCCAGCTCTCACGTGGGTGACCATGACGTTCTCGGTGGCTCCGGCAGGGGGCTGTGTGCGCTCCGCGGGCTCCGCGGGCTCCGGGGCCGCGCTCCCCGCTCGGAGCCTCCTCTTTGCTGCCCGGCTCCCCCGGGCTGGGCTTCCCCTCCTGCACCGAGTGGGACAGGATGGCTGCTATGGACAGCTCCACTTGGAAATGCAAAAAGTTATTCCACGTGTATTTAAAAAATAAATCCTGCAGGAGAAACGAGAGATAGAAGAGTTTACTCAGGATAAATTTTCCTGGTTTTAATCATATCAGGGATCTTTAGGAATCTTCCCAATTCAACCCATCCCAGGATTCTGGGACTCTGGGATATTAAATGGTTGCCCAAGCTGTTGTTTGATCAAGCAATTCCACTCAAACGGTTTTCCTGCTACATGCCAGCACCCAGTGCAGGCTGGGCTCTGCATTCCCAGGGCACTCAGTCTGCTGGGAAATCAGTGAATATTCCCAGTAAATGGAGCACTTAGGAATCCTCTCACACAGCACTCACAGCACAGACACACTGAATTAAACAACTTAACTCTGCTGGGGCTCAATGAAGCCTAGGAAAAACAGGAACTAAACCACTGCTAAGGGTGGAATCAATTCTCTTAAGGCAGCCCAGGTTCCAGAAGGCTTTTTCCAGCCTTAGGGATCCTGGGAGAAAATTAATCTCTCATCATTCCAGGAGCTCACACGCACAGCACAGACTGTTTCCCACCTTCTCCACTGAACGGACATGGAATTGGAAGTGTGAGGCTCAGTCCAAACCCCAAACAGCCGGATTCAGATCCCAAAAGCTCTTCCAGGGATCTGCTCCTCACTGGAGCAGGTAAGGGGAACGCCACGACATGGCCCCCTGCACAAGCCCTGCCCAGAAGGGCTCCAGGTCCCATCCCTGGCGCCCCCGGACACTCACAAGTAACAAGTCCATGGTGCCGAGCCGGCAGAGCTCGTGGTTGATGCTGGGCGTGTTGGCGTGCAGCAGCGCCGCGATCAGCCGCGAGCCGTGCAGCCGCGCGTTCCCCAGCGGCTCCTCCAGCACCCCCAGCGTGGTCAGGATCGCCGGTTTCTGAGGGCAGGGAGGGCAGTCAGGGCAGGACAACGTTCCCACAGCACACCTGCACCAGGCTTCTACAGGGCCGTAAATCCAACCGCGGGAATTCCACCTCACCAGGGGCAAGAGCTTCCCATGGAGGGGACAGAGCCCTGGAACCCTGCACTGCCCAGGGAGAGCCTCATTGCCCAGTTCTGCAGACATCCCAATCCCAGCTGGATGTGTCCCTGTGTCACCTGCTCCAGGTGACCCCTGCCCTGCATGGAGTAGCACTGGATGATCCCTAACAACCCCAGCTGTTCTGGAATTCCCAGATTTAACAGAACCCACCCATTTCAGGAATGTTCTCAGCAGGGAAACCTAAACCACCTTCCCAAGAGGATGGTTCTGGGGCCACTGGGAGATTTAACTTCCAAATCAGAAGATTAAAATCCAAGTATCCACTGAAAGTTTCTTCCTCTCCACCCTTCCCATCTCCCCTCAATCCCCCCGTCCCAAAGATTTCCCTGAACACAACTCTCAGACTCCTGCTGCTCATCCCTGCAGGCCTGAGTTACAGGATTTGGTGTGGGTTTCCCCTCCCTGGCCCCGTGTCCAGGCTGGAGCTGTCTGGAGTCCGGGAGTGCGGGCGGTACCTTGGGCGGGCACAGCAGCAGCTGGTGGAAGTCCTTGAGCCGGGGCTCGATGCCGTGTAAGATGCTGCTGTTGACAGTGTAAGACCTCTCGAATCCCTGAGTGTACGAGTCCATCAGGCCTTCCACTCTGAGGGAACACCAGGATTCACTCCGAGTCACTCACCATTCCCTCTTCCCACTCTGAACAACCAAGTGATACCAGGGTCCTCAAGGTCCCTCCCAGCCCAGTCTGTCCTGGGATTCTGGGACTTTATGATATTAAACCAGCTTCCAACTTGGGGTTTAATCAGCAATTCCACTAAAACCATTTTCCTTCTGCACTTCCTGCATTCCATCTTCCTTCTTCTGGGACCCAGAACTGCCCCCAGTATCCAGAGGTGCAGATTTTGTTAAAGAGCCTCCAGTCACACTGGCTATGTCAGTAGTTTTCAAAAATGAGGATGAAAAATAATAATATTCAGCTCCTGAACACATTCCCATACTTGCACAGTATTGATCCTATTATATTAGTTATTTCTATTATTTATTATACTGTATTAGTTAATATTGGTATAATTTCCCAGGTGCTGCTCACACAACCAAACCTGCTCCGAGCTCAGGAGGAGCTGACCAGAAATAACCTCCCAGCAGAGCTGGCAAATCACATTCCCAAAGTGCTTCCTGGAGTTCCAAACTCCCAAACACTTCCAAAGAAAATGGCTCAGCAAGAGCTACCTAACAAACGTTTGTTCCTCCCACTGTCCCAGGCTGCTCCCAGCCCCAATGTCCAGCCTGGCCTTGGACACTGCCAGGGATGCAGGGGCAGCAGGGCCTGCCCACCCTCCCAGCCAAGAATTCCCTCCCAGTAGCCCATCTAAGACTCCCGTCCTCCAGCCTGAAGCCATTCCCTGTGTCTGGGCAGTGCCTTTCCCTTTGTGCCCCCAGCACAGCCTGGAGCCCCAGTAATCCTGGTGATCCCAGTAATCCCAGTGATCCCGGTGATCCCAGAAACCCCAGTGATCCTGGTAATCCCGGCGGTCCCAGTGATCCCAGCAATGCCAGTGATCCCAGTGAGCCCCCAGTGATCCCGGTAATCCTGGTGATCCCAGTAATCCCAGTGATCCCAGTAATCCCAGAAACCCCGGTGATCCCAGTAATCCTGGTGATCCCAGTAATCCCAGTGATGCCGGTGATCCCAGAAACACCAGTGATCCTGGTAATCCTGGCGGTCCCAGTGATCCTAGCAATGCCAGTGATCCCAGTGAGCCCGGTAATCCCAGGGATCCCAGTGACCCCAGTGATCCCGGTAATCCCAATGATCCTGGCAATCCCAGTGATCCCAGTGACCCTGGAGATCCCAGCGATTCTGGTAATCCCGGCAATCCCGGTGATCCCAGTGACCCTGGCAATCCCAGTGATCCCAGTGACCCTGGCAATCCCAGTGACCCTGGCAATCCCAGCAATCCCAGCGATCCCAGTGACCCTGGCAATCCCAGTGACCCTGGCAATCCCAGTGATCCTAGTGACCCTGGCAATCCCAGCGATCCCAGCAATCCCAGCGATCCCAGCGATCCCAGCAATCCCAGTGATCCCAGTGACCCTGGCAATCCCAGCGATCCCAGCGATCCCAGCGATGCCGGCAGCGGCGGCGGTGGCGGCTCACCCGGAGCGCCGCGTTTCCAGCAGCGTCAGGAGCACCTGGGTTCCGTTGACGATGCAGGTCTCGCTCTGCTCCCCGTCGAACATGTTCCTGAGGAGCTGCTCCACGCACTCCTGCCTGGGGACACAGGGCTCACTCACACGGGGCTGCGCTGCTGCGCCCGCCCAGGTGCTGTCTGGGCAGCCACTGAAGGCAAGATCCCACTCTTCCCACAGCTCTGTGCCACACCAAGGAATGACGGGTGGCAGGAACAGGAGGCTGAGGCCGGCCCTGCTCCCCAGCTCACACCATCACTGGGTTGGGACAGACCTTCAAGGCCATGGAGTCCAGCCCAGCCCCTGGCCCCCAGTGCCACATCCAGGCTTGTCAAACACACCCAGGCATGGGGACTGCACCACCTCCCCGGGCAGCCATTGCAGAACTTGATCCCCCTTGCTGGAAAAGCTTTTTCCTGCTCTCCAGCCTGAATTTCCCTTGGCACAGCTTGAGACTGTCGTCTGGTTTTGTCAGTTGTTGCTCCAGTTCCTGCAGCTCCCGCTCCCCTCCACATCCCAGCTCTGTCCCTCAGGGACAGCTCCCCAAAATCCAGCCCTCAGGAAGTCCCTTCCCTTTCCCTGCTTTCCCCAGTCCCACATCCAGCCAAACCCAGCATCCCTGGAGTTCACAGCCCAATCCTGACTATTTTCTAACGTTCCAAAAAGTCTCCTTTCCATGGGTATAAATAAAATATGAGACAAAAATGTAAAAAACAGCTGAATAATTCATGAGGGAGGATTATTTGATAAGGACCATCTAAATACCCTCTGTCAGCAGAGCAGGGGAGGCAGAGGCAGGAAAAGGAGGCAATTTTCTGTAATGGACCAAATTCCCTTTATTGCACCCAGCCAGCAGCTCCTGAACCTGGATTTGGGGCTGATTCCCTGATCCCACCTCCGTCACGCTGATCATTCATTCCTGACTCAGGGATGATAAAAGTTATCCAAAACCCAAAGGTCACTGCAATGCTGGGAAAATTGGCCAGGAAGGGTAATGAGCTTTGTGACCTTCAGCAGAAAGGGAAGAGGAGTAAGAGAACCCCTTTGCCCAAAATGCTCCTTTATTCTGAGCAGGAATTATGGAGATGGTTCCTGGAAGTGCAGGGTCCCACAGCCCTCTCCAAAACTACAAAGAAAGCCTAAAACTACCAAAAAAAGTCTGTAAGTACCATGTCATCCATGGCCATCACCCCTGCCACTGCAGGGAATCACAGCCCTCCTTAAAGGTCCTGGGATTCCTTTGAGATCCCTTCAGACCCTGAAGGTGCTGTGAGGTCCCCACACAACCCTCCCTTCCCCAGGCTGGAATTCCTTGGGTTTTTGCCTCAGCCTGGATCAGGCCGGGAGCTTTGGGCTCCCTGACCCCCTCTCCTGCCTCTGGACAGAGCCCCAACCCCCAGAACACTGAGGAGGCCATTCAGAGCTGCTCCAGCTCCAAAGGAACATCCCTGCTCTGTCTGCTCCCGGCAGAGTGATCCAGGAGCCACTCCCAGTGCACCCAGTGCCCCCAGCACGCCCAGTGCCCTCAGTACTCACGATTCCAGTGCTGTGAGAAGTGGATCTGGCTCCGGGACATCCTGGAGCTGAGTGCTCTGGTCTCTGCTCAGCCTGATGATGTCACACAGGGTCTGGGAAGCGTTGGATTGCCTCTGGAAACAGGACAGGAGCAGCGTCAGCGCTGGGGCCAAGCCTGGCCAGGCTGGGAATGCTCTGGCTGGGATCAACCCCACTCCTGCTCCCCCTGGAGTTACTCAGGGCTGGACACTCCTGGAGCAGCAGCATCAACAGGCTTTGCACTCAAAGGAGATTGGCCCAAACGTGACCATCAAGAGCAGTTCAGGAGCTCAGGGGTGAGGATTCCTTTTTCTCTCCTCAATCCTCTAATCTGCACATCTGCAACACAAACATCCCATCCTTCCTCCCACTGCTCAGCTTTCCTGCTTGAGAAAACCCTTCACCCATTTAATTCCTGGGATTTAAAAGGCTTTCCAGGGGTGTTTGAGGAATTCATCCTCCGCTTCTGGCCATCAGGCAAAGCCTCTCTGGAGCTGCTGTACCTCAGCATCTGCTCCAACACAAATCCAATCCATGGGGATGTTCCCAGTTTTTCCCCTCACAGAGGGAAGTTTGCCTGGGATGAGCTGAGGGAACTGGGCTCAGAGAACTGCATTTTCTGGGCTTTACAACTGAATTCCTATTTGGGGCTAGAAAGATATGAAAATGGCATAAAGTGGCTGATTTTAAAGGATCTTCCAGGAACAGCAGGCTCTTCCCTAATCCCAAGGGAAATCCCCACTGCCTGCTGCCTGTAGGACTGAGATGAACTGAGCAGCAGAACCAAGAAATTTGGAGTAAAATAAGTCAAAAGCAGGTGAAACCACTCCAATTCCCCTCATCTGGTGCTGAGCAGAAGATGGGACATGCCAAGGCCATCCCCGGTGGCTCCTCCACAGGTCACCGGGACAAGGCAAACGGAAATCTCCCGGACCCTGCAGGGCCCAGCCCCCCAAATCCCAGCCCTGGTGCCACTCACATCCTCATCCTGGCTCGAATGGATCAGCTCCACGAGTCTCTGGATAATCCTGGCTTCATTCAGCCACTGCAAGGAAAAGAGCAGCAGAGAAAATCCTCCATGGATGCCCGAGAACTCAGAACAAGAGGGGCTCTGGGAAACTCTGCAGGAAGGGGAAGCCCTTCCCTTGCCTCTCCAATCCCATCCCTGAGGCAGAGACAGGGATGGATTCAGATCTGCATCAGCATGGATGGGGATGGATTTTGGATTTGCATCCTGCCATGGAACTAACACGCAGGCCCCTCTGGAAAACATGGAATGCTCCAGGAACAAACAGCCTCATCTGAGCAGCGGTGGCAGAACCCCACCACATTCTCCCAGCAGCTCCTGTTCTTCCTGCTGCTCACACCCAGCAATTCCACCTCCTGCCAGATGTTGGAACGGTTGTCACTGCACCTTCACCTTGCTCCACAACTTCCTGTTCTCCATGCAAACCATTCCCTATCCCCCTTTCTGGCCCAGGCAAACCAGGAACATCCTCTCCAAAGGCTCCCTTCCACTCCTCCCTCCCAGCCCCACATGCAGGCTCAGCCCCTCATCTCTACCCATTTCCATTCACATCCCACTCCTGCTGCAGGAAAACTGCTGCACGTGTGACATCCCCCAGACTCATCCCAACAATGCCCAAACTCAGCTGCCTGGGAAATGAGTAAAGTTCCTTTACAAGGAAAAACATTTCCAGGGATGAGTCCTCGAGCCCCTCTGCTCCTGAGCCTGGGACAGTGGAAGATGTCCCCGCCATGGCAGCAGTGGCACTGGAGGGGCTTTAGAGTCCTCTATAACCCCCAACCATTCCAGGATTCCTTGACTCTATGATTCTTGAACATGGTAAGGAATTACACTAATTACTGTCCCAATCAATGTCTGAATTTCTGAACACTGGGAAAACACAGTTTCCCTTTCTCCAAGCTCTCCAGCTGACTAAAGAGAGGTTGCTCCATGAAAAATGAGTGGGAACCCCTTTGCTGCCAGGAGTGACCCAGGCTGCTGCCCTGGAGCCACAACGGGGCTGAGGAACCCCAAGGAGTGACCCCAGCCCAGGGTACAGGAGCTGCCTGAGGGGTGGATCTGCTCCTGGGATCAAACACGCACAGACCCCCACCTGTCCCGAGGCAGGCAGGGACAGGGGCTGGGAGGGGAAGGCCCTCACGTTGAGCACGTCCTGGCGCAGCGCCGTGGGCTCCACGCAGCTGATGAGGCGCAGCAGCAGGTCCATCATGGCAGAGGTGTCGATGTGCTTTAGCACCAGGCTCAGGAACTTGTCCTTTTTCCTCAAAAATGAGATCACCTGTGGAAACAGGAGCCTGCATCAGCTGCCAGCAGGATACACAGCTCCCTCACAAATCCCCACAGCTCCCTCACAAATCCCCCACAGCTCCCTCACAAATCCCCCACAATTCCCCCCACAACTCCCTCACAGATCCACCTCAACTCCCTCACAACTCCCTCACAGCTTCTCCTTTGTGTCTCAACCACCGACCTTGGGCTGGGAACTCTCCAGGAACAAGGGAATAATTCTTATTCCAAGGCAACACCAAATCAGATCTTTTCAGCCAACTTTTCTCCCCTCTGTGCCACAGAGAAACCCAATGCCATGGAAATAAGTGAAGCTGGAGGATTTTCCTTTCCTCTCAAGCTCCCTACCAGACAGCATTTACAACCTTGGTATTTACCGGGATGTGAGTATTCCTGAATCCCTGTTCAGCCCATGCCTCAGCATCCCTTCCACAAGGATGAGCCTGAGGCCTTGTTTATGGATGAGATGACTCTGATGATCCTCAAAATGCCTTGGCATGAAAAGTGAAGCTTTAGCTGTGCCATGGGGATATCCCAGCCGTGGCAGATCCCAACCCAAAACTCTGGGAAGAGTCTGTCCACACCAGCATGTCCCTGCACTGAGGAATCTAGGAACTTCCCACAGACCCCCATTTCACCTCCAACCTTGAACCCAAGTCCAGGAGTACCACGAGCTCACAGCAAGGGCACAGCACGGGGATTCCCTGGATCGGGACAGACCCATCCCCACCTGTTCTGTTTTCCGTGCAATGAGGTTCCCGATGGTCTTGCTGAAGAAGCTGGCGAGGAGGGGGTTCAGGGGTGGGCTCGTGGTCCAGGAAGTCGTAGAGGATGTTGAGCAGGGTCTCGTCCCCGCCCAGTTTGTCGTTGATCTGCGGCACGTCCGAGGTCAGCAGCTCGCAGGCCGTGTTGGGATACCTGCAGGGACACACCCAGAGCCACCAGGGGTGAGATGGGAACTCTCTGGAGATCTGCCCTCCACAAAGGAAGTGAAGGAATTCCTGCCTGGCAGGGTGGGCAGGCCCTGGCACAGGGTGCCCAGAGCAGCTGGGGCTGCCCCTGCATCCCTGGCAGTGCCCCAGGCCAGGCTGGACACTGGGGCTGGAGCAGCCTGGGACAGTGGGAGGTGTCCCTGCCATTGTGGGGGTGGCACTGGAGGGGCTCTGAGGCCCTTCCCACCCAGCCATTCCATGACTGATCCCTCTGATGAGGGCACTTTTCCCACAATGGGTTATTAGATGACTTGTGACCATGCCAGGTTTCTACACCAGGATCTTTCCCAATCTCTGCATTCCCTACAAGCCACTAAGACAAGCCACTTCCAGGCCAGCTGGGAGCTCTGACCCTTTCCCTGCACCATTCCCTTCCCCAGCAGCCTCCTCCTGCTCCTGCAGTTCCAGCCCTGGAGGTTCCAAAAGCCCCTCAGGCCCTGCTGCTGCTGTTCCAGGCTTGGCTCTGCCCAAGGAGATGAGGATGTCACTGTCACCACCACAGAGGGACCTTCCAGCCCTTCCATCCCTTACACCCCCGAAGGGACACAATTCTTTTCTCCTTTTCCTGCCTCATTCCATGCACAGAACATCCACAGCTCCTAAAGATCTGTGTGTGGAGCCTCCCTGGGAAACACATCCCATGGACAGGAGAGAAATGGGAGCTCTCCCTGTCTCAGCAGCTTCTGCTCCTGCAGCTCTCACAGCCCCAGGTCTGATCCAACCCCTCACCATTCCCGCTGTGGCACCACATCCCAGCCCTGGAGGTTTCCAGCTGCAGGGACCTCACCTCACCCGAACTCCCCCTCCGACCCTGGCAAGCCGAGCTTCCCTCACCCCTGGGCTCAGCAGCTCATTGGCAGATCCAAGATTCACACTCTCCTTTCCTGCTCCAGCCTCCTTTCATTCCACCAGTTCTGCTTGGATGGGGATTTATTGGGGATTTTCCTCTTTTTGCAATTTCCCCTCTGGACTTTATGAACCTCCATCCCACTGTTCCAGGAATAAAGCCCTTGGATGATCCCCTCTCCATGCATCCCCAGCCCCAGATCCTTCCAAAGCTATCAAGTTTCTCCCTGTTCCACTTCACCAACTTTTATAACCTTTCCTGAAGAGCCAAAGTGGGATTCCATCTGGATTTACACAGAGTCCATTCTTCCTGCTCAGCCTTTATTTATCCCAAAAGCTTCCCTGGTTTCTTAATGAGCTCAAACCCTCCTTCCCCTCTCCAGGCTTTGGAGACGCTTCTGGGTCTGCTCTGCCTGGGAGTCCCAAGAGCTGCCAAGAAAATGCTCCATGAACATCAGCCCTTGGTGTCCCAGCAGGATTTTCCTTCTTAAAACCTCTGTCCTTGTGCCCCCCTTCCCTCATTCTTCACCTGCTTGGTAACAGCCAGGGATTCCTGGAATGGTTTGGGTGGGAAGGGACCCCAGAGCCCCTGCAGTGCCAGCCCTGCCATGGCAGGGCCACCTCCCACTGTCCCAGGCTGCTCCAGCCCCAGTGTCCAGCCTGGCCTGGGGCACTGCCAGGGATGCAGGGGCAGCCCCAGCTGCTCTGGCAATTCCAGCCCAGCCAGGAATTCCTCATTGCCAAGATCCCACCCATGCCTGCCCTCTGGCACTGGGAGCCATTCCCTGGGTGCTGTCCCTGCAGGCCTTGTCCCCAGTCCCTCTGCAGCTCTCCTGGAGCCCCTTCAGGCCCTGGAATGTGCTGGAAGCTCTCCCTGGACCCTTCCTTTCTCCAGGGGAACATTCCCAGCTCTCCCAGGCTGGCTCCAGAGCAGAGGGGCTCCAGCCCTGGAGCAGCTCCTTGGACTTGCTCCAGGTCCTTCAGCTGCTGGCCCCAGGGCTGACGCAGCTCTGCAGGTGGGTCCAAAATTCACCCTTCAGAGCAGGATCCTTGCACAGCAGGCACAGGATATTCCAAGTTATTATCCCACATATTCCCGGGCATTCACTCACCTGGGAACAGCCACCCCACATTATTATCAACTCTTACCCAAAACCACACCTGAACATGGCACTTCTGTGGCTTTCCACCAACCCCAGCCCTGATCCATCCCCACCAGGAAAAACCTGCTCAGTTTCATTTATTTATAGTCAGAGCAGCCTTTTATTTTTATATAAACTTCACAAAAGAAAACAAACTCCCCAAACCCAAATGTCAATATTTTTGAGTATACATTGGGTTAAAAATACATAAACACAACTCTGGTGAAGAGAAAACCCCTGTGAGGAGCTCAGTGTGGTCTGAGCAGAGGCAGGGCCTGCCCAGAGCTGTGATTCCTAAAATCAGCAGGATCTGGACATGCAGCACACTGAAATTACCCCAGATTTTATTCATTTTCCAGCTCACTTTGTTCTGTGGGATTGGAAACCCACTGAGTTCAGAGATTTCTACCTCTTCTGCTTCCCTTTCCTATAAAAACCTATTCAGGGGGTTTTGGATTTTGAGGGAACAGCAGATTTTTTGAGACTTTATTCGAGATAGGACTATTTTTTTACATTATTTCAGATTTGATTATTTGAGGTATTACTTGAGCTAAGTTTTTTTTGGAGACATTACTTGAAATATGAATTTTTTTGGAGACCAACTCAACGTCAAACCATCAAAACCAAACCAATTCCCTCCAGACCTCCAAAGCTGGAAGATCCCCAGAGCTCAAAGCCTCCCTCCCCCTGAGGAGGGGTCACAATGGAGCCCAGGTGGAATCTCTGTTTTCAGCCCCGGGATGCCTGGCTGGCCTGTCCCGGGGAGCAGGGATCCAATACCTACTTGAATCGGACCTTCTCGTCCATGTCCACGGGGGGCTCGTGGGTGATGAGGGTGACCAGCTGCTCCATGCAGTGCTGCTGGCACAGGAAGTCCAGCAGCCGCCGGTTCTGGGCCTTGCATTCCTGCAGGACGTCATCCTCGTCCATCAGCTCCTCCAGGGTCACATCCTCCTTGTCCAGCAGCTTGTCCACGTGTGACGTTGTGTTCAAATCAAACTTCCAGAACATGGTGATGGGACACGACTGGCTGGGGGCAGGAAAGCACCGGTTACTGCTCCACACCCACTGTGCATGACCACAGCATTGCTGAGGTTGGAGAAGACCTCTGAGACCACTGAGTCCCACCATCAACCCCATCCACTGCCACCCCGTGCCCTCAGGTGCCACCCTCCACACATTTTCTGAACACTTCCAGGGATGAGCACTCCAGCCCATCCAGTGCTTTCCCCCAAATCCCCCCTGAGCTGCCCTGGCCCAGCCTGAGGCCGTTCCCTCTGCTCCTGTCCCTGTTCCCTGGAGCACAGCCCGACACCCCCGGCTGTGCCCTCCTGGCAGGGACTTGTGCAGAGCCACAAGGGCCCCCTGAGCCTCCTTTGCTCCAGGCTCAGCCCCTGCCCAGCTCCCTCAGCCCCTCCTGGGGCTCCAGACCCTTCCCAGCTCCATTCCCTTGACATGCTCCAGCCCCTCAGGGTCGTTCTTGGGGCACTGCACTTTGAATCCCCCATTTCCATGCACTCCTACCCCAACCCTAGTTTGCCCTTTTGTTATTCTGATTTTTCTCTATATGAGTACTATTAATGATATTTTTCTACTTTGCTTTCCTAATACCTGAAATTTTGGAAAAGCTGTGCATTACACCAAAGCAAGTTCAGACCACTCCTAGGAGACTCTTCCAGGGCTCTTCCTCTTGCTTAACACTTCCTCTTCCAATTCTGCCCTTCACCATCTCACCTCAGCTCCTCAACAACCCTTCACAGTCCTGTTCTGGCCACAGCACCAGGTACAGAATTCACGGAATCCTGGAATGGGTTGGGTGGGAAAGGACCCCAGAGCCACTGCAGTGCCAGCCCTGCCATGGCAGGGACACCTCCCAGTGTCCCAGGCTGCTCCAGCCCCAGTGTCCAGCCTGGCCTGGGGCACTGCCAGGGATGCAGGGGCAGCCCCAGCTGCTCTGGCAACTCCAGCCCAGCCAGGAATTCCTCATTGCCAAGATCCCATCCCTGGCTGCCCTCTGGCACTGGGAGCCATTCCCTGGGTGCTGTCCCTCTGGTCACATCCTGGGCAGTGCCAGCCCTGGCTCCCACGCTCTGCACACGCAGCCCCTGGGCTGGGCTGTGTCCCTGTGCCACATTCCCAGATGATCCAGCAGCACCATGTGATTCCATACCCAGGATCACAAGGCTGTTTTTAACCTAACCCACATCCCCATTTCCGCACACAGAACTCTCTCCATCCATTCCTTTGGCTTTTTCCAGCATCCAAAAATGTCCCTGTGCCTGATCCTCTGCTGGTCGCACTCTGCATGCCCTCAGCTACAGGACAGCCTGGACATTGTGCTCCTGAAAGCCCATTTTCCCCCCAGGAATGACACTGAGGGGGCTCTGCCTTCCAGTCACCAGAGCAGGGCTTTGCAAAAAGCTGAAGACCCCAATCTTCTCATTAGACTTTAAATCTCTCAGTCCTTCATGGTGAAACTTCCAGAGTGAGTCTTCAAGTGAAGCATTCACAGAAGCAGGACATGGATCAGAGGAAAAACTGAGTTTCTTTTACACATCAGGATTTTCCCACCCGGAATCCTGGGGGCAGCTCTGGAGAGCCCTGGAGGGGCTGGAGTGTCCAGGGAATGGAGCTGGGAAGGGGCTGGAGCCCCAGGAGGGCTGAGGGAGCTGGGCAGGGGCTGAGCCTGGAGCAAAGGAGGCTCAGGGGGCCCTTGTGGCTCTGCACAAGTCCCTGCCAGGAGGGCACAGCCGGGGGGGTCGGGCTGTGCTCCAGGGAACAGGGACAGGAGCAGAGGGAACGGCCTCAGGCTGGGCCAGGGCAGCCTCAGGGGGGAATCAGCAGGAATTTCCCCATGGAAAGGGGCTCAGGCCTTGGAACTGCCCAGGGGGGTTTGAAGTGCTCATCTCTGGAGGTGTCCAAGGAATTCCTTCAGGGCTGGGGACAGGTGGGGGTCAGGCACAAATTTGACTGGATGGGCTGAGACGGCTTTTCCAAGCCCAGGGATTTTGGGATTCTAGCACTGAATTTTGGAGTTGGGAGCAGCCATCTGAATGTTCAACCTATGTGACACTGCAGTGACAGCACTGCTGGGCTCGGTGTGTTCCTCACAAACTGTTCTTTGGGTATTTTTAACCATCTCTGCTTGGTTATAAATTCACCGAGGGAAAATCTGGCACCAAAGGCCTTCACAGTGAAGGAGGTTTGGGGGCTCAGTCAACCCAAATGCAGAAATATTCCTTCCATTGGTGTGGAATCCACACAGAATTCTCACCTTCCAAACTGACACCCATTGTAATCCTGGCAATTCCACAGCTTTCCTGAACTTTTTATACATCTCCAGGGAAAGCTGCCTGACTTTCCCTGCAAGAGTGGAGAAGGGCTGGGCTGGAGTTGCCAGAGCAGCTGGGGCTGCCCCTGCATCCCTGGCAGTGCCCCAGGCCAGGCTGGACACTGGGGCTGGAGCAGCCTGGGACAGTAGGAGGTGTCCCTGCCATGGCAGGGCTGGCACTGGAGGGGCTTTGGGGTCCCTTCCCACCCAACCCATTCCAGAACTCTCTGATTCCATGGATTTGCTACTTCTCCCATCTCAGTGCTTAAATTTAGGTCACTCTTGCCACCAGTAAAGCAGAGCTGTTTTCCCTTTTTCAGGTGGACACTCACAGCCCTCCCCAGCTGCTGATTTTATTTCTGGAATATCCAATGAGAGCAACACCCACGAGGGCTCCAGGAGGGCAGCTCTGTGTCAGTCCCTGCTGTGGGGCTGGACCTGAGCTGCATTCCAGGGAGCAGCTCCCAGCCCCGTGCAGGGAAATTCCATGTCACCCCCAGCCCTGAGTTTGCCACCAAGGCTCTGCAGGAGCTGCAGGGCTGGGAAGGAGCAGTGAGGCTGCAGCCAAGGAGAGCCCCACGGCAACCCCTGCGGGCACCAGGCTCTGGGACAGCTCATTAACAGGAGCAATTACAGATCCTCTGGGTGGGCACTGCAGCCCAGGCAATTCCCAGGGAATGGCTGGGTGGGAAGGGACCCCAGAGCCCCTCCAGTGCCAGCCCTGCCATGGCAGGGCCACCTCCCACTGTCCCAGGCTGCTCCAGCCCCAGTGCCCAGCCTGGCCTGGGGCACTGCCAGGGATGCAGGGGCAGCCCCAGCTGCTCTGGGCACCTGTGCCAGGGCCTGCCCACCCTGCCAGCCAGGAATTCCTCATTCCCAATATCCCATCCATGCCTGCCCTCCACAGCCTGAGGCACCAGGGAAGGTGATTTCTGTAGAGGTGATTTTGGGCCCCACCTGGATTGAAGCCCCCCCTGTCCCAGCACTGCAGCACCAGTTTCCAACCCATAAATGAATGATAAAAAACAGTGTTGGGGTGTTTCAATTCTGGGACAATGCAGGAGATATTTAATCTCCCTGTTCCAACACAGAATTCCAAGACTAACAAACCCTGCCTCCTCAGGGCTGGGAGTATTCAATTCCCTGCCAACAGAATTCCAGCTGAGTTTATAGAAAGTTCCAACAAGTAATGCACTTGCTGTTAAAAATCCCAAACAAAGGACCCCTTTTGCCACCCCTGCTTTGTTCTTCTTCTCCTTCTCCATTTGCTCAGGAGCTAGGGGGAGGACACATTTTATTTATTTTGGTTATGTGTTATTTTGTGTTATTTTATTTTATTGTATTTAATTTTGGTTCATTTTCCACCCTCCCCAGAGCTGTGTCCTGGACAGTACCTGCCCCAGAGCTGCTCATTTGCATAAGGACAAAATCAATGTTTTACACAGAATGTTCTGAGCCGAGGAGCTGCTGGCTTGGAATTCCAATGGGGAATTTGTCCTTTAATTATTTATTTTTCATGGATGATCACCCAGCTTCTTGCTGCCAGCAGCTCCAGAAAACCAAGGCTCCCTTTGGGGACTGCAGTGGGAACAGCAGGGAAGCAACCTGGGAGCGTGGTGCTGGGGACAGGGTCACCCTCAGGTGACTCCAAAGGGACCCAGGAGTGTGGTTCCAGTGACAGAGTCACCCTCAGGTGACTCCAAGGGAACCCCGGGCTGTGGTGCCGGTGACAGGGTCACCCTCAGGTGACTCCAAGGGGACCCTGGGCTGTGGTTCCAGTGACAGGGTGACCCTCAGGTGACTCCAAAGGGATTCAGGGGCGTGGTTCCAGTGACAGGGTCACCCTCGGGTGACTCCAAAGGGTGCTGGTGACAGGGTCACCCTCAGGTGACTCCAAGGGAACCCCGGGGGTGTGGTTCCAGTGACAGGGTGACCCTCAGGTGACTCCAAAGGGATTCAGGGGCGTGGTGCTGGTGACAGGGTCACCCTCAGGTGACTCCAAGGGACCCGGGAGCGTGGTTCCAGTGACAGGGTCACCCTCAGGTGACTTTCCCAGCCCCCTGATCCCACAGCTCCAGCAGTATCCAGGCCCTGGGTTGCTGTGATTTCTCCCAGGGTTATTCCCAGCCAGTTCTGTGTCACCAAGGGCCCCCCTGAGCCTCAGCAAACACAGGCACAGAGGAAACACCCGGAGCATTTCCCAGCCTTTCCAGAATGCTCTGTGCACTCAGAGCCAGGAAAAGTGAACAGGGAGGGGCAGGAACCCCCAGGCCACTGCTCCTGGAAATCAGGACAAAACTCCCAAGATTTACTGATTTTTTAGGCCCATTTAAGATCATTCCTGCTAAAATACATCACTGAATTGTTTTTACTAAATGTTTTTACGAGGTGGGGGCACATGGAAGTGCTGAAGGAGGGACATTCCCAAACAGAGTTTTGGGATGCTCCCACCATTCCAGTAACACCCAGTACAAAATCCCAAAGCCAGCCCCAACTCCAGCAGCTCTGGCCCAGCTGAGCAGGTCTCAGTTCCATCCAGGGTGGATTTTAGCCTGGACAGACACAGATTCCTGGTGGGAATTTCAAGCTTATTCTTTTTTTTTGCCAAGTTTTAATACAAAATCTCCTCTATTTCCTCCATAAGAATACATAATTTTAAGCTTTGCTACACAAAGCAAGAAAAAATACCCCAAAACGCAGGGAATTCCCTCCAATTCCAGTATGGGAAGAAGTCTGGAGAACACCAGGACCACACATCCATCCAAGAACTCTCCACCTTTAATTCCAGTTATCCAGTAACAGTTATCCCAGCTCCAGGGAATAAAATCTCACTTTACTGAACCTGCTGAACGTGAACCCCCAAATCAGCTTTTCCAGCAAACTGTTCCACCACTGGAAAATCCTCCTGGAAAACACAGATGGACAAGGCCAGGCTGATCAATGGCTCAGCTGAATTCCCACGGAAGGGCTGGGCATGGAATTCCCAAACAGCCTTAGAGCAAATCTCCCTCCCTTTGGTGACTCAGCAGCGGGGTGAAAGGGAAGAAATGAATCAGCACAAATCAGAAAGAGGAAAAGGCACAGGCAGATCCCAAACCAGTGGATTTGGGAGTGATCCCAGAAGGATCACTGTTCCCAAGAGGAACAGCAGGGAATCAACACCTGCTTGGGACACTAAAATAATTAGGCTGAGCCTACCAAAGCTGTCATAAGGACCAGGGAGCTCCAAGCCCCATCCAGCCCAGCCTTGGACATTTCCAGGGATCCAGGGGCAGCCACAGCTTCTCTGGGAATTCCATCCCAGCCCTCAGCACCCTCCCAGCAGGAATTCCTTCCCAATATCCCACCTAACCATTCCAGTCTGTGCATCTTTTAACTCATCACCTATTTCCATGGGAGAATTTGTTTTTCATAAAACCTCTCCCTTTGGAGCATTAGGGGAGCTTTTCCCAACAGAATTCCCAAGAGGAAAATGCCCGAGTCAGCCACTCCAGTGCTGGCCCTGGGAAGGATCCTGCTCCTCCCACACCTCCAGGGAATGCCAGGGCACTGAATCCCCAATGGAACTGCTGCTGCAGGAGAGGGCAGCTCCTGCTGTGTGCCCTCAGCTGCTCTGCTGGATGGTTCCCACTCCTCCCTGGGTGGTCAGAGATCCCTGTTGCCTTTTCCTGCCCCAGGATGAGGGCACAGGGTGGCACTTCCACAGGGCATTTCCTGCCACAGCCACAGCAGTGCCCAGGAGAACAGGGAACGAGGAGTTCCATGCCCTTCCCAGCCATTATGGACCTGAGCTCAGGTTCTGAGAGGCATTTTTTCCCCGTTGAACCTGGTTTTAGGGAGGCTCCTGGCCAGCACACCATGAATCCCAAAATCCCTGAGGCTGGAAAAGCCCTTTGGGATCACTGAGTCCCAGCTGTGCCCAATGCCCTCCTTGTCCCCAGCCCAGAGCCCCGAGTGCCACCTCCAGGAATCCCCTGGACACCTCCAGGGATGGGCACTCCAAAGCTCCCTGGGCAGCCCCTGCCAAGGCCTGAACCCTTTCCATGGGGAAAAAGGCAGCCCAGGCTCAAAGATGGCACAGGGACACAGGGACTGAGCCCTGAGCCCAGACTCCATTCCCAGAACATCCCTGGGACTCCACAATTCCCTCTCAGATGACTCAAGGTATTAAAGACCAGGATCAATCCCAGGAGCAGCCACCAGACCTGAGCACCCAGCATCACAGAGCTCGTCCTCATTACTGGGAATTAATTGGCCCCTTAATGAGGAACTTCACAGGCCCTGGCCAGAAATTCCCCAGTGCTGGGTGGATCCCACAGGGGAGGGGGGTTCTACCCCTTTGCTCAGGTGAGAGCCCAACTGCAGAGCAGCACCTGGGGCCAACAACAGCAGCACCTGGAGCTGCTGCAGGGCTGGAGCCCCTCAGTTCCCAGGGAGCCAGGCTGGGAGAGCTGGGGGTGCTCAGCCTAGAGAAGGATCCAGGGAGAGCTCAGAGCCCCTGGCAGGGCCTGAAGGGGCTCCAGGAGAGCTGCAGAGGGGCTGGGGCCAAGGCCTGCAGGGACAGCACCCAGGGAATGGCTCCCAGTGCCAGAGGGCAGCCAGGGATGGGATCTTGGCAATGAGGAATTCCTGGCTGGGCTGGAATTGCCAGAGCAGCTGGGGCTGCCCCTGCATCCCTGGCAGTGCCCCAGGCCAGGCTGGACACTGGGGCTGGAGCAGCCTGGGACAGTGGGAGGTGGCCCTGCCATGGCAGGGCTGGCACTGCAGGGGCTCTGGGGTCCCTTCCCACCCAAAGCATTCCAAGACAAAAGGACAGGGAGATGTTCCTACCTTCAGTAGAAGTTTCTTCAAATGTGAAATCTCCTCCACGGACAGAGAAACATTTGGGTTACAGTTTCTGGAATAGACCCAGCTTCAGGAAATGGTTTTCATCCAGTGTGAATTTCTTTGCAAGCTTCTAATCCTGGAAAAGATTTTTTAAAGTTACTAATAAGCAAAGGTACCTGAGGGCCAAAGGCTTTTATTTTTTTCCCTAAATGAACTTTCACAGAACCATTTGGCTCAAAGGAAGATCACAGGCACTGACAGTCCCCGCCAAGGAATCACCAGTCAGGCTACTCAGGATCCTCCCAGTTATCCCAGTTCCCCTCCTCCTGCAACACTGGGCAAACGTGAACTGCCCAGCCCTGGCAGTGTCCAAGGCCAGGCTGGATGAGGCTCAGAGCAACCACAGATCATAGGGGAAGAGCTAAGCCTGGCTCAGCCCATGAGCTCCCCCACAACTTCAAGCTGGGCTTTAACCAATCTCCTGAAATCCAGGAATTCCTGGTGTGCTGTGGGATACACCCAGACAGAGACCAACCTGCAGCACGTCCCCACATCAATGGAAATTAAATGTAATGTGAATATAAATTTATTTCCTCATCATCCAAACAGTGATTACTTAACTGCAGGTACAACATTCACCCAAACCAAGGGCATCGATCGGAACAAAAACTGCTCAGGGTTTTATTTCTAAACTTTGTCACCCTTTTCCCCACAATCTGTGCCCAAAGGTCTTTGACAGAGTCCCAGATTCAGAGAGGTTGGAAAAGCCCTCCCAGCCCAACCAAGCTGTGCCTGATGCCCACCTTGTCCCCAGCCCAGAGCCCCGAGTGCCACCTCCAGGAATTCTTTGCACACCTCCAGGGATGGGCACTCCAAACCTCCCTGGGCAGCCCCTGCCAAGGCCTGAGCCCCTTTCCATGGGGAAATTCCTGCTGGTGTCCACCCAGCCCCTCCCCTGGCCCAGCCTGAGGCCGTTCCCTCTGCTCCTGTCCCTGTTCCCTGGAGCACAGCCCGACCCCTGCCATAAACAGGGGCACCTCAAACAAGAACCTTCTCATCAATTCTCTGCTGGGCCACAAATGCCAAGAGTTCCAGAAAATACTGCACAGCTCTGGCTTACATGGACACTGATGCTTTGGAGAGCTCAAGGCTGGAAGAGCCATGGAAGAACACATGGAATTCTCACAATGCACGGAAGAAGCTGGGACAGGGAGCAATGGGGGTGTGGAAGGGAGAACTTGTCTTAGTCTCAGTTGGCTCTGCATTCCACAGCCATGGAGTCCTGGAATGGGCTGGGTGGGAAGGGACCCCAGAGCCCCTGCAGTGCCAGCCCTGCCATGGCAGGGACACCTCCCACTGTCCCAGGTGCTCCAGCCCCAGTGTCCAGCCTGGCCTGGGGCACTGCCAGGGATGCAGGGGCAGCCCCAGCTGCTCTGGGCACCTGTGCCAGGGCCTGCCCACCCTCCCAGGCAGGAATTTGTTCCCAATATCCAACCTGAGCCTCCCTCCATCAGTTCTCACAGGCACTGCACATCCCTGTGGAGCCAGGACACCAAGGGGCCCAGCCTGGCTGACCCCAGCAACCCTGAGCTCTGTCACATCCTCATGGGAATGGCTCTGGAGAGCCTCCAGGGACACCCTGGACACAGCCAGCACTGCTGCCACCCCTGTGTCCCTGCCATGGCACCACAGCCAGCACTGCTGCCACCCCTGTGTCACTGCCGTGGCACCACAGCCAACACTGCTGCAAACCCTCTGTCACTGCCATGGCACCACAGCCAACACTGCTGCAAACCCTCTGTCACTGCCATGGCACCACAGCCAACACTGCTGCAAACCCTCTGTCACTGCCATGGCACCACAGCCAACACTGCTGCAAACCCTCTGTCACTGCCATGGCACCACAGCCAACACTGCTGCCACCCCTGTGTCACTGCCATGGCACCACAGCCAGCACTGCTGCCACCCCTGTGTCCCTGCCATGGCACCACAGCCAGCACTGCTGCCACCCCTGTGTCACTGCCATGGCACCACAGCCAGCACTGCTGCCACCCCTGTGTCACTGCCATGGCACCACAGCCAGCACTGCTGCCACCCCTGTGTCACTGCCATGGCACCACAGCCAGCACTGCTGCCACCCCTGTGTCACTGCCATGGCACCACAGCCAACACTGCTGCCATCCCTGTGTCACTGCCATGGCACCACAGCCAGCACTGTTGCCACCCCTGTGTCACTGCCATGGCACCACAGCCAGCACTGCTGCCACCACCCCGTGTCCCTGCCATGGCACCACAGCCAGCACTCCCTGTCACTGCTGCGTCACCTCAGCCAGGACTCCCTGCCATCCCCGTGTCACTGCCATGTCACCACAGCCAGCACTCCCTGTCACTGTGGCACCACAGCCAGCCACACACCATTCCATGTCACTGCTGTGTCACCTCAGCCAGGACTCTCTGTGTGTGTCACCATTCCGTGTCACTGCTGTGTCATTTCAGCCAGCACTCCTGCCACCACCCCGTGTCATGCTTTGTCACCAGGACACATCTGCTGGCCAAGGGACACGCCTGGTGACAGCAGCAGCTGCTGGCAGTGCTCCCCAGGGCCAAGGGGCTGGCACTGATGATCACAATTCCCTCCATCCAGCCTCATTCCCTCACAATTCCCTCCATCCAGCCTCATTCCCTCCACCCAGCCCCATTCCCCCCACAATTCCCTCCATCCAGCCTCATTCCCTCCATCCAGCCTCATTCCCCCCACAGTTCCCTCCACCCAGCCTCATTCCCTCCACAATTCCCTCCACAATTCCCTCCACCCAGCCCCATTCCCCCCACAGTTCCCTCCACCCAGCCCCATTCCCACAGCAGCCCAGCCCTGCTGAGGTGCCAGGAGCAGCAGGCAGCACAAAGGGAGCCGTGTCCCCCTCGGGAGGAAGCGCTGGCCAAACACCCACAGAACTCACCCCGAGTCTGGTGGGAGCAAAACCCAAAGGGAGTTCAAGAGGCTGCTGACCTGCAGCTCCTCCATGAGACAGCAGCTGGTCCCAAAGATCCCAAATATACACAAGGAGCTGTGGCTGTCATTGGAAAGACAGGGCCCAAATAATATGAACAAATTAAAAATATCAGTCAAGACTGAACTCCATTTTGTATAAATCAGGAGGCCATGGAATGGTTTGGGTGGGGAGGACCTTGAAGCGCACCCAGTGCCAGCCCTGCCATGGCAGGGACACCTCCACTGTCCCAGGGTGTCCCAAGCCCCAGTGTCCAGCCTGGCCTGGGACACTGCCAGGGTGGGGCCACAGCTTTCAGGGACATGGCTCAGATCCAAGCACGTGAATGAAATCAGAGTGTGTGGCAGCTTTTCCACACATCTGTATGACAATATCCCGTGAGCAGAGCCCACCTTCCCCACCTTGGCCACACCTTCCATGCCTCAGGACAGATGGCCCCAAGATATTGCACAGGAATATGGAATGGAATCCACTTTCCATGGAATCCACCCAGGCAAGCAAGGAAAGCTCGTTACTGAGCAGACTAAAACCCACTGAAAACCTCTCCGGTGCCTTTAGAAAAGCATTCACACATTAGCAAGTCATGAACAACTGTTCAATACATCCCAGCTCCCCTCCCAAGCTCTCCTCAGTGAACGTGCACCTGGAGCAGCCCTGCTGGAGGATCTGCAGAGCCCAGGAGGAGCAGACCCGTTGTTCTGTGCCTGTTCCTGTGACTGTTCCTGTGAGAACGTGTGCCAGTGCTGTGTGTGTAACACATCCCTGCTGCACACGGGGCTCAGAGCCCATCCCAGAGCCTGCACCAGGATCCCTGAGTCCAACCAGCAGGGACAGGGATGGGCTCTGACAGAGTCTGGATCCTTCCCTGTGCCCCTCTGCTTAAGGGAGCTGGGAATTCAGCACCCAGCACATGGATGGAAGCAGAGAACTGTCCTTGGACTCATGGAATATCCTGAGCTGGAGGGGATCCACAGAGATCACCTGCACACACCCCCAGATCCCATCCCTGGGAGCACTGTCCAAACACTCCTGGAGCTCTGGCAGCCTCGGGGCAGCACCATGCCCTGCTCAGTGCCCAGCATCCTCTGGGGAACAACCTGGAACAACCTGGCATTTATTCAGCCTCTGCCCACCTGCTTCAAGAGAAGCCCCAACAAAATCCCAGGATCCCTGAGGTTGAGAAAGCCTTCCCAGTCCAACCAGTCCAAACTGTGCCCAATCCCCATCTTGGGATCCCATCTGATCCTGCATGCCAGGATCCTGCTCTGTGCCAGCTGCTCTGGGGAAGGCAGGAGAAGGGATGCACAGGGCCCAGGGAGAAGGGATGCACAGGGGCTGCAGTGCCCATTAACAGAGAGAAGGGATGCACAGGGGCTGCAGTGCCCATTACCAGGGAGAAAGGATGCACAGGGGCTGCAGTGCCCATTCCCCAGGGAGAAGGGATGCACAGGGGCTGCAGTGCCCGTTCCCCAGGGAGAAGGGATGCACAGGGGCTGCAGGGCCCATTCCCCAGGGAGAAGGGATGCACAGGGGCTGCAGGGCCCCTTCCCTGAGGGAATTCCATACCCACTATTGCTCTGAGCCAACAATAAGGAAAAGGTTCTTTGCCTGCAAAAGGAACTGGAAAAGGATGAGGAGAATCAGGAATTCCTCAATAAAAACAATCAAAAGGTCCATGTAATCCTGAAACATGAGCCTCACAAAAGGAACAGAATTCCTGCCTTTCCCATACATCCCATAGCACATCCCAGGAGGCAGCAGTGGGATGGGAGCATTTGGAAAAGGACAGGAACATACAAAATCCAGCTATTTTTAACAAAATTTAAAGTCTTCCCACTGCCTCAGTTACTTTATCATGGTTGATCAGAACTACCAGCCCAGATGAGCTAAATTCAACCTTTTATATAAGTTAGAACTTCCCTCAAGATTTCACGGATAAAAGAAGAGTTTAAGCTGTTGGAATTAAGAAAAAGCAGCATTTCCCAGGGTACCTGCACTGCTGACAGAGCAGAACAACCACAAATTATTCCCTAATCAATGTCCACTCACATGAATTTTGGGATTTATTCAGCCTCTTCCCACCTGCTTTAAGAGCAGCCCCAACAAAATCCCAGAATCCCTGAGG